ATTACTTTCTCCTCCCTTAAATAGCTTAATAACCTCCTAACAGATTCTTATATTATAACCAGGCCTTCTACAAATTCTATAGTATTATACCTTTAATTAAGCCCCCTCTTTATAACCCCCCTTACTAACAATTAGCTTATATCTATATATTAATATCTAATTAACTAATTATATCTCTTTCTTCCTCTATAATTATCTTCTCTTTATTTTATAAGTAGGTTTTTTTTACTTATACTGCTTACTAAGAGTCTTATTTACTTTTAAAGTATCTAGTTCTTAGATTTTAATAATACCAGTTAATATATTATTGCTATTATTCCCTTAGAAAATAACTAAAGTACCTCTATAATAGAAGTAGAAGAGCTATTTTAATACCTTCTAATTTACCTTTTAAGATATTCAGACTAAGAGCTAGCTTTAAGTATAATTTTTAGGGTTTTTAAAACTTAAGGGTTAGGGAGGCTAGCCTCCTTCTTAGTAGGTATTAGAGTCTGTAGCTGTATATTAAGCTTTAAGATAATTAATTCTAAGTTTAGAGGAATTAGACCGGCCCTTTTAAAACTCCTCTTAATATTGCTTTTATTATAGTAGCTTAGTAAGTAGTATAGAAGGCTAGGAGGAAGTTAGTCTTTAAAATATAGGTTATAGAGTATCTAATTAGATACTTAATTTACTGTCTATATGTTTTTTTAAGCGGCTTAAAGTACCTAATATTAAGAGGCTAAAGTAGATAAGATAAATAAGGCAGTATATAGAGTATAATAATATTATTTTTCTTATAATAATTTTAAAGTAGCTAAATAGTAGTTTTTATATCTATTAAGAATTAGAAGCTAATAGTAACTATTTAATTAAGTACTTATATATTAATTAAAATATTTTAGCTACTTAAAGCTTATTTTATTATTTATTTAGTTATTTTAAGTTATTATAATAGCCTAATTATCTAAAAAGTTACTATCTTAATACTAGCTAGTAAGATAATATTATTCTATAACTATAATAAATAGCTAGATTATCTAGTTTTTTATATTAATAGCTTAAATAACTATAACTTATTCTTAATTTCCAGGCTAGATTAATTTTAGGTTTTTATACCTTTCTATATTTATAATAACTATTCTACTTATAATTATATCTATTATAAAGCCAGTCTTATTAAAGTTATAAATATCTACTAAGCTAATACTATATTTTACAATTATATTCTATATAAGTATAAACTACTAATAAATAATAGCTAGATCTTTATATTTAGCCCTCTAATAGTTATATCTATAAGAAAAATATATCTTAAGCTCTAGTTACTACCATATAAAATTAGAAGCCCAGTTCTTGCTAATAGGAAGGGTATTGCAATTAGCAAGTAGTCAGTTGGCTATTTCTTTAATACTACGCAGCCGGGGGGGAAATTCTCGCGAGCCTAGATTAAGAATAAATTGAATAATAGTCTATTCCTCTAGATTAGAGAGTCGGCGTAATGTAGGGACCTAATTGCTGCGGGATTGAATGCCAGCTTGCCGGCGACCTAAAATCTTCCAATTAACCTTATAGATGCCTGCAGCTCGTCGGAGGCTAAGCTTTGAGTTATTTTGAAGAGCTTGAAGGGCAAGAAGAATATTTCCTTCGTTATGAGATAGCGGCATAATTAATAGTTGAGAAATTGATGATTGAATTAGAAGAGAGAAGATTGAGGGATTTTTAAGATATATGCTTGTTTGAGATATATACTTGTGGAGTATGTTATATATATTTAAATTAAAATAGCTATATTTTATAACTTAGCTAAAAATATTAATAATTTTAATATAAAAAGCTAAGTTTTTTTTTAGAAATTTAACTAAATTAAATATAATTTCTAGTTTTAAAAGTTATTATATTATATTAAATTAATATAAATACTAGCTATTTAAAATACTATTTAAAAAGTAAATTTACATAGCTTAAGTTATTATAAATATTAGAATTTTTAAGATATTAAATTTAATTTTAAAAATTATTAAAGTATATATTAAAATTAAAATAGCTAAAAATTAAAAAAGTAAAATAAACTTTTAATAAAAAAAACAGCTTAAAATTGAAATTGAAATTTAAGTAATTATAATATATATAATAAAAATATAATAAATTTAAATATTAAATTTTCTTATTAAAAAATATAAAAATATATTATAGTTATTAATAATATAAAAACTTATTAAAATTATAATAGTAAATTAGCTTTTTTTTAAAAAAAAAAACATTAAATATAATTTCTTTTAATATTATAATAAAATATAAAACTTTAAAATTATAGAAATTTATATTTTTTTAATTATTTAATATTTTAATTTTACTAAATTATAAATTAAAATAATAATAGCTATAAAAAAATTATAAACTTTTAAAAAATTCTTATTTATAAAAAATATTTCTTTTAAAATATAATAATTATAATAAATATATAATTTTTTTTTAAATTAAAAAATTAAATATATAGTAGCTTAAACTTATTTACTAAAAAATATTTCTATATTAAGTTATTTATAAAATACTTAAGAATATTATTATATATTTATAAAAAAATATAAATAAAAAGCTATAAGATAATAACAGTAAAACTACTTTATATCTAAGTAGTAATAGCAGAAATAGAAAAAGGAGTAAAGTTACTTATTAAGTTAAATACTAATAAGAAGACTAATAATAGAAACAGCTGGACGGTGCAGGCGCTTATTAAAAAGCTCGAGGCCGACAAGCGCAGGATAAGGCCGGCCGGACGCCGCTGCACTTAACCGCCAGTGAGGGATAGCTAGGCTACTCGCGGAACATTTTAGCCAACACCCCGCCCCATATCCTGCTGCCCTTTCTTGCTTACATATATACCGTCGTCCTAAGATAGTAATAGTTCCTAGGCTTCAGTCTTAGGACTAAGCTAGCCCTGGAACTCTGGTCGTTACAGGATAGAGATAGTCCTGGTATGGGGGCAGCCTGCGGATATAGGTTATTATGGGACGTTTCTAGGGCTTCAATCTATTTTACCCCTGCCATTTTTTATTTCGTCCCTCCCATTTTTATTTCAGTCCTCCCTTTCATGTCTCCCATTTCGTCCCTCCCATTTCTGGTTTTGTCTCCCCCCATTTCACCCCTTCATTTCGTCCCCCTTGTCTCGTTTCATCTCTCCTGTTTCGTCTCTCGTGCCTGCTTTTGAGGCAGCGTATTTTTGGGCTGCCACACACCATTCCCACTCTCCGTTCTCTGGCTTTGACGCTCGCCTCGTGAAGATTGTTGTGAGCTCCCATAAGGTATTTGGATTAAACCTTTTCGATCGATCCCAACTCAACGCCTAATCCCCGTCGAGAGGTCAAGTCCTGCCACCGAGACTCGACAGCAACATCCAGTACCCCGCACCCCGCAGCCAGCAACCAGATTCTGATGCTCACAACACAGCTACACAGAGGAGGGGGTAGAGGATGCCCTAAGCCTGCCCAGCCTGTGCCCCACGGGCGTCACTAGCCACACTCGTTCAAGATCAAGTCTTGTCGCCTCGTTGAGGCAAAATGAACGATCTTGTGACACGAACGGGCACAGAATGGGGTCGCGTCACAGATGTGAACGTAATCGTTCTGCTCTTCTCCAATTTAGTGAGCGGCAACGTAAAACTGGCAGCATTAATCGTAGGCGCCCAGGTGGAGCGGGCGCTTGGCTCCGGCTAACAACACGCTCAACCACAGCAACAACGACAAACTAGGATGTTGAAGCTACTGGTATCCTTCTATGTAACCGCCGATTATTTTGAGACTTACTAGTTCCAGGCTCCTTCTGGTAATCAGCTCCGAGAGGGACCTTATATTACTCAACATACAGCTATCAATATGTTATCGCCACCCGTATTAAGATAGGGTAGGGCTGCTGGTAAAGTGCTCTTTATGCCTTACCAGCATACTTTAACCCAAATTTCTGTTCTGGCGGGGTCTAACTAGTAACATCTATCTTAAGGCTGCCTCGATACTAGATTCTAGAAATGCTTGCGTGAGTCTGTACCTGGCACTTATGCTTGACTGGTAACCAGGATGTATTGAATCGGGTCCCAAATTAAATCCTCCTTATTCCCCACTCTGTGCCAGACGTTTCCTGTGAAGACGTTGAGACATTCTGAGTGCCCCTACGCGATTTTTGTTTTTCTCAGTGCGGCCTCCCTTGACTTTGTTCTGGGCATTTATTGTCTCACAGAACTCCATGGTTTCGGGCTGTAGTTGAGAAGTAGCGGCTCATGTTGAGTACCAATACTTGTTGGTTGCAGTGACTCGGGTCTTGGAAAAATAAACAGCAAAAGATGCAAGTATGAATGGTATGAAGCAAGACTGAATGTCCAGAGGCGAGGCGAAAGGTAAGAAACGTGTTGATAAAAACTAGAGACCAACTTGGAAAAAGCACGGAGTCTACGAGAACTTAAATACGCAAAGATGAATCCATTGCCAGATGGACTCGTATCTTCATCTCCAATACGAGCAGGGAAGTGAGGATGAGAGCGAGTACTCAGACGCACTAATGTAAGAACTGTTTCAATACTCGCCTTGGAAGCGCCGCTAGCCAAACTTTAAGCAAGAAAACTCAGCAATCGGATCAAGAATAGGATTCCAGAGTCTTGCAGCCGCGCGGCAAGGTGTGAGGCTGTATATACTATGGCGGCTAGGTAGTTGTAGCCTCAGGCTACAAACTTGGTGTCCACCCCACCATATCGAGGTTATTGCGGCGCAACTCTCGGGCAACAACAATCGTCAATCAACACCTCGCTCCCTCGTGCAACGCTTTGCTCAACGGTAGTCCCAATAAACCATCCTATACTGCATTTCAATTTATCTCTTCATACACAGAATGGTCAGGACTTGGCCTATGATGGCTCTCTATCGACGACCATGGCCCATATCGTCAGCTATTGCGCCACAACTTGATCCCTCAATCCCAGTTGAAGAAGAGAAGATACCAAATTATCATGCTGATCGATTCTACCCTATTCACCTTGGCCAAGTCCTCAACGGAGGGTATCAGGTTGCTACAAAGCTAGGCTACGGTGCCAACTCCACTGTATGGCTGGCTAGAGATCTAGACCGGTTAGCCGCATCCTCACAAAATTCAGGATAGCATCATCTAACATGCTGCAGCTGGCGCTGGTCAAAGGAGAAATATGTTGCCATCAAGGTCAATGCAATTAGCCAACCTTCACGGCGAGTTCCTGCGGAAAATGAACTCGACATCATGAGGCACATTTCTCGAGTGAACCCCCAGCATAAAGGTTGGCATTTCATCAGGAAGCTCTGCGACTCCTTTGCGCTACAGGGCACGTCGGGAACCCACAGCTGTCTCGTCTTAGAGGCTTTACGTGAACCTCTATGGCTCTATCGCAGAAGATATGTAGGCGGTGTGATACCTCCAGACATCCTGAAGATCTTGGTGCAAATGATCTTGCATGCACTCGACTATCTGCATTCAGAATGTCGTGTTATTCATACGGGTAGGTTATACGCTATGCCGGCTCTTTGGCCCTTTTCCGACCTTGACCAGACCTCAAGCCGGACAACATCATGCTAAAAATTGAAGATCCTTCGATTTTTGAACGAGGCGCTCAGGACGAGTTCGACAATCCGTTACCGCAGAAACACCTTGATGCACGTACCATCTACCTCTCTCGAAACAACTACGGACCACTTTCCGTCCCAACAGGGATCGTTCAGATTGTAGACTTTGATCTATCCGTTCGGACAGAGCCAGGTCAAATACATACGGGTGCCATTCAGGGAGAAATATACCGAGCACCAGAGGTGATACTCAACGCGGGCTACACATCCTCTGCCGACATCTGGAGCCTCGGGGTCATGGTAACACAATCCTTCCAGGGTCTTTTCTGACATGAGCGAGGAGGCTGACCACTTAACTTTGGTAGTTATGGGACTTGCTCGAGGGAAAGGGTCTTTTCAATCCTACAGCCCCTGGCAACGCCGATGAATATGACGACCAATCACACCTCGGCCAGATTGCAGCCTTGATCGGACCTCCACCCCAGAAGCTTCTGTCTAGTGGCCAAAGAACTTCCATGTTCTACAAACCCAACGGTATTACAGGCACACCTTGAAACAGTGACACACCGCTAATCGATGTGTCCAGGTGAACTCAAGGATCCTAGTCGCGTCCCCGGCGATTTTAGCTTTGAGAATACCATCAGTTGTATGAATGGCGAAGAGAGGCTGAGGTTCATTCAATTCATCAAGAGAATGGTGAAATGGAGCCCAGAGGGAAGAAATACCGCAGGAGAGCTGCTTGATGATCCGTGGCTATATGAAGATTTCCCGCAAGACTAGAACAAGCGTATGGTAGTGGCCACGAACCGTTGTTGAAGAATCAATCGCACTTCCGATTCATGGGTGGCCGAGGTGTAGATAGCCTCCTATCAAATGGCTTTCACTGTTTCAGCGCTACTTGTGAGGGCTTCTGTTGGAATGAGCCAAGAATCACGGTGACCGTGAACGATAACAACCAGCACCAGGCAGCTGCCTGCTGCTTGCTGCCTATGGGATCAGCAGATTCAACATAGGTATAAAAGATCACCTTTTGACAGCTGATTACCCAGCCCTATCCCCGTCCAAGGCAAGCTAGGACGGGGGCCGTTAGGCAGGTAAAAGGTTGGTTGATTAGGGCAATATGATACTTCTGAGCGCCGACAACTTGGAACTGAACAACTCGTCCAATAAAGCACATCTGCTGCTTCTCTCAGCCCCAAAAGGCTGTAGAAGTGATCTTGTTAAGAGCCACCCGCTGCCAATCATCAAGGTCTCACCGTTGCTGCTTCCTCTCACCAGTCCCTAACCAAAGACCAGCGCGTATGCCAACAGACCCTCTTTCCAGAACCCATGGATGAACTATTGTTTGGGGCCGTTTGACCGACACCTGGTGCACCTCATGCCGTGGCATGCGATCGCGTGACTTTACGATAGAATACCCGGGTCCCCAGCGATGCTGACGACGCTCTTATGTCATCCCAATTCGGCACCAGTTAGTTAATACATAGAGATAGAATCCCGGCTATCTAATCTATCAATGGTTTGAATGATCCGCCAGAGCATCACGCGACAAGAAAAGTATTGCGATAATTACATCCAATCAACGCCTTCTAATTGCTGCTCTGTTTCTTCTGGGAATCCGTGGCCAGCGTGGTTGTCCAGAAAACACGTTCAGACTTCGGGCTTTGCCAGTTGAAACACTTGCTTCCATCATTCAACACTTGTTCCGTCCAATCTCTGGCTTTCGTCTTGATCTCCTGCTTTCGCAGGTTGAGAAAGCAAAGCTTCCCTTTCTTCCGCTATGTCCGCACCTGAAAGGACTCGCCTGTGCCCGCCGCTACCGGTCCTAGGGTTGTGGCAGACGAGTCGGCCTCCCTCGTGTTACGTGATCGGGTCTTTGATGTATAACCCTCTATGGCATCGGAGCGCGGACTGCGTTGCCGCTTCGGCCGGCTCTGAGGTTCAAAGCTCGATGCAAAGCTTGTTGTGAGGTTCGTCGGTGGATCAACAGCTAACGGATCCTGTGAATCATCGCCCTCATAGAGATAACCGGGAGGGGAAAGCGCCAATTCGTCAGGTGAGTCCTCCTCATATTGTATCTGAGTTGCGTACCGGGGAGAAGGCGCGAATTCATCAGGTGAGTCTTCTGGAGGCTGTATCTCGACTGTGGTGCGCTCTTGGCGGGTGACTGTCTCCGGTTGAGACGCTCTGGCATTTGCATCTCGGATGAAGTTCCCTCTGTACGTCTCAGCTAACTCCAGGGTGTTCCTGAACGCGTGAATTCCCTCGGCGTATGTGTCGCGAGCATGGGTCATAGCATAAGCTCCCGACTGGGTCATGTGATACTCGGGTCGTCCTCCCTCGGTCGTTGGCGTTGTCATGGGTGGGCGTATTCCTGGAGCGTGCCGGTGCCGACATGGTACGTGAAGCTGAAGGTGTGTGGCTTGCCATCGTACTGTGGGGTTTCGACGCCGTAGTTTTGCAGGCTGTGCATAGCGCGAGAACCGATTGCACCGTCGTAACGAACTTGGCGTGTTGCCACAGCCGCATTTCCATCTGGGCCTTTGACTTCCAGGAAGACATTAGGTGCTAACGGCTTATCTAGCATCGTTGACGGGACGATGTGGCCAGCGAGCCCGTCGCGGGCTGGCCTAGCTAACTGTTCTGGAGTCGCGCCCCAATAAATGTCGGGCTGAGCGGCCGTGATGGTACCGTCTGTGAGCGGCTCAAGGTTGCTGAACACGGTGTTTCTAGCGCAAAAGCGGTTGGCATGGTTCGGACCAAGGATCGTTGGGATGACAGTGGCCAGCGCAATTAATGTTGGGACCCAGCCAGTGATTCGGAGACATATTCTTGGGTTGTGAGTTGGGCTCGGTAGTCGGTGCTCAATGCGGGCATGGCTCGGTGGAATGGCACAGCTCTTCAGAGGTTTTAAAAATTCCTCCCGAAATTAAGGTATGGTCCTTCGACTTTACGCAAGCCTCACACTCGTCTGGTAGCTCAGGTGGTCATCCTATAATATCTTCTTGAAGTAATAAACAGGGATAGCTGCAAGTCGACCGCCCGGGCGAAGTTACAAACCTGGAAGGCTATCTGTTCGCCAGCACCTTTGAATCTTTTCGGGCTTCCTGAAGGATGTCCCTCATCCGAGAATACAATGCTCTGTCCTCCCTCTCCCACCTCCCGCCATTCGGAAACACTACTTTCTGTAATCTGTTGACCCAAGGTGTAAATGGTCGGTAATAGGAAGTAAAATTATCCTCCGCGGTCCTGATAAAGTCCCCTTCATGGGATACTTGGCCTTTTTTCAACTCTGCTAGCTCTTCCATATCGACGTAGTTCCACTTCTCGAACCGTGGAACGACTCTGCCCTCGTCTGGCCCGTTGCAGTGAATGCATATCCAGAAGAGCACCCAGAAGAACGACTCGAGGTCGTGCATGAAAGAATGCTGCTCGCCTAGAAGTGCGCCAATGGCCATGAATGCCCTTGTGCCAGTCTTACCTTTTGCTCCCGATGTGCCTTCTCGTTGCTCCTGAATAGCAAGGTCGAGATCAATCAAGAACGCGGGCCATGATGGGTTGTCGTCGTCCTCATTTATCATAAGATTGTTAATCGAGATGTCTCTGTGGAGCAAGCCGGCCTTGCGTAACGACTCGTGTCCTTTAATACACCCTTCCAGTGCAGCAAGGAGAGCTATTCGGGAGCTTGCCTTGTAGATGGGCTTGCCATAGTCACGAACTATGACACGTCGATGTACCCGATTTGGTAGAGTGCTGACAGCCTTGGTTGGAGACGTGGAACAGGATCTCTTGCTAGGAGGGAGAGGGGCGCCAGTTTGGCTGGATGACCGCTTCCTACTGACGGTGCTGCTGCTGCGGCCTTTCCGCGATGTGCCGGTTGCAATGGCGCTCGGTGGTATCGGGCGTTCGCGCCTGTAGTTCACAGCTCTTGTGACGTCCAGTCCTCCTCGAACATTTCTCCGAATGTCGTCGTCTGCCCCGCGAACCTGGACTGTCTCGTGGTGATGGTACCGGGCCACGTTGACGGCGCCTTTACCAGTCGCCTCGCGTACCAAGTCACCTTCTTCGTCGCGTTCCGAATACTGCCACGAATCCTTGATGACAAGCAGTATCTCCGGGTGTCCTTCGCGATGGGCTTTCCAGCAAGTCGTCGCCCGGCCAGCTATACAACGCGCGCGCTGCATTAGCCCGTCGATGATGATCCGCTCCGTCGAACCATTCCGTTTGATCTCGATGAAGCGCTCCTTGTTTGCCGTCATAATCGTCGGATCGAACCCAAGCTGCTCCTCGTTCATCCAGAGAAACCCAAGGATCGTCAACAAAAACTGCAGCCCATCTTTGTTAATGTCGAACTGTTCGGATGCGATGCCCCCGAGCCGGTCAAACGCCCATACCCTCATAAGAGATCCGCAGATGGTAAAGCCCAAGACGAAGCGGCGAGTGTCCTGAGCAGCGAGCACTTCCCTCGCGTACCTCCCAAGATCAAGCCATGCCTCCGAGGCTTTATCGGCGGATCGATTACTCTTGAGCTCTCCTGGCATGAGGATCTGAGACTAGTGGCACCTCGAGTCTTTCCTAGCTTCAGGGTCATTCATAAAGCCAACGTCCATTTTTTGTTTCCCTATAGAACCATTAATTGGCTTATTGGGTTTTGCTAGTGGTCTTTGTTGACGCGTCGGGGTTGACTTGTTGCCCTCTGTAAATGCCGCTAGCTTCTCGCTGAAGTTCGTAAACTAGCTTAGCATATCGTCCTGCTTTGCGTCTTCGGGCCATCCGCTCTAGCCGTCATCAAAGAGTGGGTTGCTGCCTTCCTGGCACTGCTTGAAGAATGCCTTGGACGCCGTCTCAAGGTCGGCCACGTCTCCGAAGTATATCTCGTGAAAGTTGCAGAGCCCGATATATATAGAGCCAAGCTCCTCCTTAAGCACGTCATCTACATATTTGCGATATTCGGACGAGTTCGCGAAGCTGCTGGTATTGCGCAGCCATGGGGTTTGTTGGATGGAAGAGGCTACCGGTCGGGGAGGCAGGGTGGATTCCGTGACGGCGTTATAGACTTAATCCCAGATGAGGGCATCGTCTGGTTCGTCGGCGAGGGCCGATTTTAGGAGAGGTTTGACGCGGTCGAAGTCGAAGTCGGCAGAGGCGACCGCAGAAATGAGTCTCAGGAGATTGCTTCGGAGGGTGCCACGACCTATCTTCGAAAGGAGCAGGCTTGCAACAGCAAGGCTTTGCAGGGAGGAAAGAAAAGAGAGTGCGAGATTTTGGAGATCTATATGCCAGTTAGAGGGTTACGGTGCAACAAGGCTGGCTTGCAATATACACACCTTCTTGATCAAGCTGATCCAACGCGTCGCGTGCGCGCGAGATGCCTCTACCTTCGCAGGTCGATTTGAACAAAGAGCGGAAGGTATCAAGGCCATTTCCAATAGGATTGTCCTCAATAACCCTTGATCGGGCTTGGTCCGCCATGGCAGGCCCAGTCTCCGCTATTGTGTTGTGTGAAAGATACACAGAGCCGTATTTTGGGGTATTAGTCGGTACGGAACCATGCACAGCCACACTGTCACTGAGCCACCCAGCCACATATCGGGATTACCTCGGAGCAATATCGCGTCAACGCGCTGCTGCATGCAATCGGACCATGTAGAGCACACAGGAACAGAATTTGGAGACAGGTACGGAGTAAGGCCTGTGAGTCACGCCAAACCCCTTTGTCTGCGACGATAAGCCATTACCAGACTTTCTTCTGGGCCTCCGTAAAATGGTAAAATCTGGACCCTACTTATGAGGTGGCCGATTTAGTGGCACATAATTGAGGGAATTTGGAGAGTTGGCCTCAATTGCGCTGCCTGCTGCTATCGCTGATGGCTCCAACTAACTACTGATGGCTTCGGCCGTCGTTTTAAAACAAGGCCTTGAGCAGTGATGGAACCAAGCTGCTTAAAGGTACCAGGATTTCCTAGGCCCTGAACAATGGTACTGGCTGCGGCGGTTTTTCTCCCTCGTGGTTTTTCCCGTCCCGCTACTCTCTTTATCGTACAGGCACCTGGTTACCAAGCATCGCACAGCTACTCGATATTGACATGCATCATTAACAGCGGACGACAAAGAAGCTGATAGTGGAGAGGTGTTGGAGGTGGCAACGATCCTCTCCTTATACCCACTCCAAGGCCAGGGACAGGGACCAGTGAGCTAGACGTGGGCGCCTTAATGTTGTCGTGCTTGCAGCCGAGGTACATGATCGCACCACCATTCAGGATATGGAGCGATGATGGACGTGACACGCGACTTGGCGCAAGCGAGACTGTCAGTCCACTGATTATGTAATAAGCATGGAGAACTCATTCTTACCACACCTCAATCAATCATCGGCGCCAGACGGATTAGGTATACCAGCTTCAACTTATTAATTGCCAGTAAATTAGATATAGATATCTACATCGTCAGTACATGTCTCCAGTACTAATAATCAAATGCTAAAGGGCCTATTTACTAGGCTTCTAAATAGATATATTATCTTATTAGAGGACATTGACGCTGCGGGAGCTATATGTTCTAGGGACTCATGCATTTCCGCAAGAATCCCTCCTCCACGAGGATGACGCCGAACCATGCCCACTGCGCGGACTCGAGAAGCCCAATCTCCCCGTTTCTGCAGCGTCTCCAGGCTGCATTCTGCCTTGCACGGCTCCGTTGAGGCTGCCTTCCGTCTGTCGTGGTTAGCGCTGGGTGGAGGAGCGAGAGGAGCATGCCTGCCATGTCACCTGCCCCATCCTTAGCCATGGAGAGACCTGGCACCGGGACGTCTGCCATGCTTGACCATGCCTTGAGGAACGAAAGGACTATGCCCCACCCGCCGGCCTCACCCCTTAAACTCCCGCTTCCCATTGGTGGCCCAAAAATTACCCGGTTTTGAAAGTCCGTCGTGATTGGTCGCCGGTGCCTTTTTTTCCCTTCTTGCCCGTGATTAAGCGCGTTCCTCATCCCCATCTCCTCACGTCACCTAACGCAATCACCTTGACTCTTCAGAATCGTCATCCAACCAGCGCAATGCCTCCTGAACGGTCCTGTCGCTCAGTTCCTCCAGTCTCGCCTGCGCGGCAGTCATTTCTTCGGGGACCCTGTTTCCCACCAGGTCTCTCTCCCGCACCTTGGACGAGTGGGCAACGACATCTAGGCTCGTGTTACGACCATTTCGGATCAGACTGAGAACACAGTAGATTCTTTCGCGGCTGTAGCAGCGTCTGCGGTTCACATTGGAAAATACGTGCGCAATTGCCATACATACTCACGATCGAAAGCGTCAGGACTACCTTATCAAGGACTTCTACCGCCACCAACGAGAAATGGGAAGACATTGCTGTCGACTTCATCGTACTCTGTCGTGCAAGTATAACAGTTGGAGTAGCTCTGTGATGGCGAGGTAGCACGTCCCAAGCCAACCTCCACGAGGTTACCCGGAACCGGATCGGACTTGTTCACGAGTTCGAATGGCGTCATCAGACTAAAGAAAAGCCCCGTGCCGCATTCGGGGCTCGGAGGAACCATAAGCCCGACACTATCACCTTCGAAAACTGTGCCTCAGATTCACTCAAGACCCCGCCACAAAAACTTGAGTTGCGGCCAGTTCCAGACGATGGGCCGCCAAGATACTGCCGAACCTTATTTGCCATGTGTTTACAAGAAAGATGCTGAGATTCCGTTCGCTCCTGATGGCAATTACCCGTTCATCTCTAGTTCTGTCATCAAGGTGAAAGGGATCTCGGGCCGTTTTCAAGGCCTCAAATGCGTCCAGAAAACCATCATCGACCCTACGGAAACAGATGAGTTTTTACGAGGAAAGAAAAGACGCCAACTTGCGCAAGAAGCCAAGATTCTTCACTTGGCCAGGCATCATCATGTTGTTCAATTGATCCACACCTATTTTATGGACAGCACGGAAGACCAGATCCACTTTTCAATCGTCATGGATCGAGCAGATGCGAACCTCCACGATTATCTCAAGCCAAAAAACCCCCCAAAGGAGCGATGGTTTGGTTGCTTGGTCAACGCCATTTCCCATATTCACCTACTAGGCATCCGACATCGAGATGTCAAGCCATCGAACATTCTGATTAAAGGCGACAAGCCGTTGCTGGCTGACTTTGGCATCTCCCAGATGGGCCTTGGAAAGACAATGCCGACTACATACGAGCATCGTAACGCTGCGCGAACACGGGAGTATTGCGCTCCGGAAGTGGATAGAGGTAGTACTCGTGGTCGATCGGCAGATATTTTCTCCCTAGGGGCTGTCTTTCTCGAAATGCTTCTCGCTTATTCTTACCCAGATGGTTTCCAAGAGTTGCAGAGAGTGCTAGAGTCGCCGTCTCATAATGGAGCGTCATACGCAAAGCATATTGATGAAGTTCATGCATGGATCGCGAAAAAGGTTCACCTGGTCGGCTGGCAATATGAGGTTCTTTGCCTTTGCAAAAAGATGTTGCACCAGGATCGACTCCAGCGCCCAGACGCAGCAAACATCGAGTTGGATATATCGTCTTTGTTGACTACAGGTGAATCTATGGCGTGTAGATGTGCCAAGAGCTTGGCCCTATCGGAGAACGACAAGTTGGTCGTGGCTTGTAGAGAACGGTCCGAGGATGCGGTCAAACAAGCACTGAATGAGGGGGCAAATCCGAATGCCCCAAGCGCAATCCACTTTGCTGCGGCGGGTGGGCATGTGCCCATTGTGAAGGCTCTACTAGAAAACGGTGCTGATATCAACGCCGCTAATCCGACAGGGCAGACAGCGCTACAATGTGCCTCTCGTAGTGGTTCCGAGCCTGTTGTTCAGTTTTTGTTGGAGAATGGTGCTGATGTCAACATCAAGGACGAGAACGAGCAAACCGCATTGCATGGTGCATCAGGACAAGGCCACACGAGAATTGTCCGGATGCTCCTAGACTCGGGAGCTGATACTGAGGCGGAAGATCTCGATGGGAACATTGCGTTGGATTTCGCAGAAAGGAGGCATCATTGTGGTGTGGTGAGCTTGTTGGATTCTTTCTTTGAGCGTAATGACTAGCCGATAGAGAATGTACTTTGTTGCTGAAAAAATCTGCTAAATGGGCAACTGGGGAAAAAGCCTGGGAAAGGGCCGCCTCGTTGCTTAGGCCATAAAATCCTCCATACTTGAACTTGATCAAATCGAAACACTCTTAAGCTCCTCAAGCACAAACTCAGTGAACGCGCTTTGGAGTCTGATTCCAGTCCCGGAGCCCTGTGATTGATCTGAGTCCTCATCGACGCTCATTCCTTCGTCACCATGAGCTACAAGACAACGGCTGATCGCTCTCCAATACTTGTCCCCGGCGATATCACGTAGCTCGACAAGAGGATTTGTATCTTTGAACGGCGGACGACGCTCCTGTCCCAACAACCAGCCTCGAATCCTCGGATCTTGAGAGGAGGGCTCTGGCCACCTTTTCAGGCACATAATCTCATGCAACGGCTTCCAGTGGGCGATTTCGAGCAGAACAAGGCCTAGACTGTAGATATCGTACGTCTTGCGAGAGTTTGCCGCCTGTGGTATCTCGTTCTGAACACGCGGCCAGCGATAGATGTCCCACTTCGGGTCAAGACTTCGACCCGTCGTTTTATTGCTCATCGGACGTGAATATTCGAATCCTGAGAGGATAGGATTCTCGGGATTGTAGTAATCTCCGTCGAACGTGAAGATTACGTTACCACTATGAACCCCTTTATGCAGCCAGTTCGTAGCGTGTACATAGAGCAGTGAAGATGCTAGCCTCCAAGCGAGGGCCGTTCGTTGGGTAAGTGTTGGCTTATATTGATTCTGGCCTAGAATTTCGTGGAGTGTTTTCAGCATTGTGGCCTCGGTTGAGCCATCAGGCATTCGAAAAATCCATCCGTATCGGCGGTTCTCTGCACAATCGTCGATGTACCCAATGCACGTAGGTGAATAGAGGTGCCGAGGCTTCTTGGTATGAAGCATCTGCGCAAGAGTTGCGGTTCGCAACTTGGATTCGTTGTCCTCGAGGGGTCCTTTGGGAATGTCGCCTGTTGTCTTCCACTCGATCCAAACCTGAATCACCTCACCAACCTGGCTCAGAGTCCCTCTCGGCCGAGGTGGTCCAGTACCTCTTGAAATCTTGTCGTGCTTTGTGTAGGAGAAGGAGTCGCTCAATGTCGAGCCGTTGTATCGATGCACACTGATCAAGTCTTTCAGATATCTTTCTATATCAAAGATCTGCTCGTCCTCCATTTTTAGTAGAAGCTCATTTGAGACGCAGTTGATCTTTTTCAGCCGTAGAAGATCTTGAAGTGTTTCGTCATTCTCGCTGTGGTGTGTTGCGTCTGTGTTTTCCCTGGTGGTCTTGAGCAGGCTCGTAACAGCATCCAGCAGGTTTCTGAGATCGCTGATGTCGTTCCGCGCCAGAACCATCTCGCGGTAGATCTTAGAGGTAGTTTCTTCCATACGGTCTCTACGATAATCCTCCATGAGTTCATGCATACGCTCGGTGAGGAAATGGAGATCTTCCAGAAGTGCTTCGAATGCTCCTTTATCCACCATCACCCATCGAACTCGAGAAGGGTGCGTAACGATCTCCTTGGCAGTCTCAGCTCCTTTCGAGAACCATTTAATCACATGGTTGGTCCCTCGAAGATATTTGCGTGCTTGTTTGGTTTCCTCGTAGGTGATTGCGAGACTCGAGACTTCCTTTGCCAAATTGAAGTCCTCGTAGCCTTTCTTGCTCATCAGTTCATCGTCGTCTTGCGACACTAGCAGCTCATTCTTCCATCGGGCGTTCATATCTCGAAATTCTCCAAGGAGCCAGCCTATGCGAGATACGATGCTGCACAGCTCGATTGCATTCGTTCCTAAATTGACAGCCACATGCGATCCTTGCTGAGCGTTCATCAAGCCCACCGACTCGCCCCAGGCCAAAAGACGATTATATTCGATCATAAGCTGGAGGCGACATTGCTCACAATCTTTCGGCATGTCTACCATAGCCGAGAAAAATTTAAAAACTATGGTCCGTCAGGTACTCGATCACTCGATCCAGAATCCTCCTCAACTTACGTTTGATAGAATTGTCAAACACATCAAATGCCAAGGAGGCAACCCCGACCGCAAGACCGACCGCGGATGCCGGATCCATTCTTAGTGGCTTTTCTGACAGCGTGTCAGTGGATTATTAGGACACAGAGTCAGTAGAAATTGTCGTTCGTTTCGTAGGGGCTTCAAAAAGCAACTTGCGAAAAGCAGTTCTTTATTCTGCCACGCACTGCAATATTCCAGGTAAAACCCGCCCATCTTTAGGGTATTCGGGGGTGACTGTGCGTGGCTGTATTCAATTCGTCAAAGGTGATATCATGCTGCGTCGGTTGTCTTCGGGCACACATGCATCATACAACCTGAACCCCTCACCAGATTGCCCAACTTCAAAATGGTGCAGCCCAACGGCATGACATGATTCTCAAGATGGGAAATATGACGACGGAGTCTCTGCCTATACCTCATGACAACTAGAGCTATCGTAGGGTGAGTAGGAAGGGGCTGTTTGACGGCGAATAGCACCTTAGGTCCACAACATTGCTCTTTTAGGCTTCAATCTGGATAACGTCACGTGGTGTCACTCTTCGCTCGGATTCAGCCCAGCTTTTCCGTGGCAACCCCACTTTCATCCTAATATCAGTCGGATTACGATGCAGCGGTAGTGCGTGGTCGAAAATGGAATGACAACAGTTCGTGACGTTTGCTTAGTCAATTGACAACAAAGAAGCGTCAAGCTGCGCGCGATAACATGCGACTATCGACTACTCAACTCCGACTCTTGTCGACAATGCTTGCTCCTCGTCGCTCATAATAGAGAAGCTTATCACAACAGCAGGAAGAAATTCTTGAACGGCGATTACGATACAGTTGCCACCACTCTTCGCTCCGCCAAATTCTCCTTACAAACCCCCTTAGATCAATGGGTAGCCGTACACATGCTCCAAACCTCCAAGCGGCACTTTCCTACGCGTAGCTCCCCCTACTGTACGTTTCGCTAAAGAGCGTCTCAAAATACGTCAATACAAACTGATCCTGGCAAAGCTTCCACATAGCTGCTTCTCCATCCAGCTCATCCAGCATGGCGTCCGCACAAAAGCGCTCTGTGTCAAGCCTGTCACCCATCAGCATGATGTGCGGGCGCGGGTAATCAACTCATGTCTTTTTCAACTAGTCAGAATTCTCTCACGACCTTGGCTAAAGCTGTCAACGTAGTCTATCCTCTAGAAGCCAAGCGATAGAACTGGAGGCTGCTGTAATTCGAGCTCCGAAACTCCAATGCAGTGTAGATACCAGTTTCTTGTTGCTGGATTTAATCATCTGAAGCTTGAGGATTAATTGAGGAGCTCTGGCCTACATGATCTGGTCTTGCTTATTGTAACATGGGTCTCGGCTGGAAAACCCGGGCCGAACTGGGACTTGCAGGACAAACCCTCCAGACATACTGTTTTAAGAACAAGCTGGTTATACCGATGTAAAATCAAGACGCTGCAAAGCTGCGTAGATATTTACATCTTCAAATCACCCATTCCAATTTTGCACCAACTGTCGCAGTGTTTCATCAGATACCCTACCGAGTATTTGCACTGCTCCGTCACCTGCTGTCACATTGCTTGCTTTTACAACGTCTCCAGCCCCAAGAAATATTGCTTGTCGAGCATTTCTTCCTACACTGACATTCTCAATGATGCATGATGATGCAGGAACCTAAGCACCAGAGCAATGAGCCAACGCGGGACCTATTCCAATTATAGCATCCGTTTGCTGACCTGTTATGGACCTTCCCGATGTTTCCGTGCACGGCTCAGTTTTGCAGTTTGCCGTGAGCTTCTGTACGAGATTTGTGGCTTCGCTTAGCCGTTCTGCACACTATTTCAAAGCTGTGAGGGCTTGGATCCGAACGAGATGGGCGTTGTTGGATTGAACGCCGAGCAATGTTTCCCCAGTCTAGTCTTCTTAGTCATTTCCTCTACACCCTGAAACATCAAGTGAATTCGAGAGTGATTACATACTTTTACAGGCTCGTCAGTCTCATTAGACTCATATAGCAGTTGCTGCTTGTTAGCGTGGGAAACTGCAAGAGTCCTCAACTCAAGAGTTGCTTCCTCGGGGTCGCATAGAAGTAAGTCATGTACAATCTTTATTGTTTGATGGAAAGAGTCTTTATGTTGTGTTTTAGGAAATTTGTCTTACTTCGGCTCTCTCTATCCCAAAGATGACAGATACTACATATCCATTTATAGGCTTGCCTCTCAATTTCCGAGGAGTAAGGTGAGTTGTAGTCGACGCTTCATCGAAATTCACATCCACTCTATCTCCACCACAGGATCATTCAGTACAAAGCTTGTATCGCTGTAGTCACGTGTTGCTGACTTGTCTAGATTAGTTCAAGATCTAGTTCATCTCGGGTATTCTACAGAAGATCACTCATACCATCTCTTATTTAACCTGAAAGTTAAAAAATGGTGTGGTAGTCAAATACATAATTGTTGTTGTTGTTGTTGTTGTTGTATTATTACCGTCGTGAAGATTGCCTAAAGCTATCCACAGAATCCCCAAGGGGGCAAGACGACGTGCTAGGCTGGTATCAACAGCTGAAGAAACCTAAAGTACAGTAACCCGGGGCCGGAGCTATAGACACCACTGGCCTATAGCTCGGGCCTGCAGTCATAGACCTAGACCTAGACTGCAACCCTTCTTCCTCCTCCATCTAGCAATTAAAAGGCCCTATTTGACCTATTATTTCGAGCCCGATATCCGTCAGCGGATTGTCAGGGCGGGTGTTAGCATACCCATATTTATTAACCAGCTTGAAATTCTTCAGTATTCCTATTCCTGCCTGCCGGCATTCAAAACCTCCAGAAATCGAGATCCGTATGATAGGAATAACTGCAGATGGGAAAACCTCGCGGGAGCTAAGAGGGGAAAAAAACCACTGCAGCTAGCATCCATTAATCAGGGCCATCAAGCCAGAACCCTGATGCCTACAAGTAGCCCGATTCTGTGACTTCTTGTAGACCTGGATTAACAGCCAAGATCCGTAGATCAAGGCATCCAAGACCCGGGGGTCTTGGTGGCCAAGGCCCGGAGGCCAAGGCAGCTCAGGCCCGGAGGCCTAAGCAGGTGCTAAGACACGGTGGCCTTATGCACCTAAGTGCCGAGACGCAGAGGTCAGGGCAGCTTAGGTCCGGAGGCCTAAGCAGGTGCCGAGGCCCAGAGGCCAAGGCAGCTCAGGCCCGGAGGCCTAAGCAGGTACTAAGACGCGGTGGCCTTATATACCTAAGTGCCGAGTCGTAGAGATCAGGGCAAAGGTCGACGCCCACCTAGATTGAAGCTGGTGTCGTGATTGCTCCTGGCGGCTGCAATAGCTATACTTGCTGCGAGGTCTGAACCAGCATTACAGTATGTATAGGAGCCACAGCGGTGTCGTTTGGCCCCCGCAAGCCGTGCTGTAACCCTGCTGCTATCTTAGCTGCCCAGCTGGTCAGGGCAGCAGGCCTCGATCATGGCCGGAGCCCTTGGGCTGTGGCCGTGGCTGCTGCGTAAAGGAAGTCAACCCTCTCAATCCTTCCTTTATTGCAGTGTTAGTACCCGATGGGCACCAGCTGCTGCAGCAGCCAAATTTGGTGGGCCTGCAAAATTTTCCACGCTAGTGCTAACAGCCGCTAGTCAGGAAGAATTTTTACAGGAGAGAGTTGAGTCAAATACATAACAGACAGACCAGTAATTCATCTGCCAAAACAAGATCTGGAGTTCCTGGAGTTCTTAGAGTAGCATTAAAATCTACCATTTGAGCCCCTTGTCCCTCTACTGGGCGCTTAATCACTTCCCCGTTTATCTCCACGTTGCATATTTCCGTGTCATCTATGAGAGTCCGACTTTTACACTTCGTACGCTCACTCGTAGTTGATTAAGCCACAACTCGATTACCAATGAGTATAGTGCGTGTGGAAGCGAGAGTAGTGCTTCTGAATACATTTACCCATGAACAATCTTTGATCCTTTGCTTTTGAAAGTTCAGCTATATTCTACCCATCGCTTAGTCTACGGGCTAAGATTATGATATTTGGATTCTTTGCGGCTATTTTCTCCTGGTAGAGCTCATTTTTCACGGTTTCAAGACCGTCGGAGCATAGCGGCCTCGATTGAGTTTAGTAACTTTAATGCCACCAACTATCTCGAAATGAGGCAAGTACTCCGGTGCATGTCTTGCCTTTGTATCTTGACGCCACCGAAGCTTATTCTCCCTCACGCTGTGCCGCAGTTCCCGGAGATCTCTTTTCTAGGCACGGTAACAACAGTCTTGGACCGCACTAAGCCGAGATGAGCGCGTCAATATGAGCTGTTTCCCGACGCTCTGGTCACTGTAGTGTAAAGCTGACAGGATACATTCAACTTTTGTTTTTTTAATGCGTCATGCAAAGCCAACGTCACCTGAGAAGAGCGCATGAATCCCCTGGAAGTAGATTCCGATCTCTTTCGGAGGGCCCGCTGTTTTAGTCTCTGCTACGTGATCCTTGAATCTATCCACGTGAAACCTGCTTTTTCTGCCGATGATCGTCGGTGTGCCCCTCTCTCTTGGGTTTGGTCATGTGCCTCCATATAGTTGTCCATGCTGAAGATGCTGAAGAACTAGCATATTATTTGTTCGCATATCATCTGAAGTTCCTCAGCGTTCTACTACTTTTCTCGGGCGACACTACCTATTGTGAGGGTGTTGAGATACTGACCGCGGGGTATCCAAGGGTCAACGCAATCAGGCGGGTACCTTCTCCGGCCGAAGTCAATCGCGGAAAGGTCGGTCCGTCGTCAGATTGGCTCCACCGATGTAGGTGTCCGATGGTCATGCTCACGGCAACGTTGCCGAAATCGATGGAACGGTGGTTCTGGCACCAGATGCTAGGCCAGGACGCGGCCATCATCCGGGCGCCGACGGCATGTTTTGGATCTACTGGGTTGTCACTGTACCCCTAACTATTGTGGTTTTGGGCGTTTGGTATTGGTGGGTCGATTATTCTATGGATAGAAATTCCATCAGCGTTGCTTGAATATCAGCCGGATTTTCGGTGGGTATTTAGGATGGGAATAGCTTCAATTTTGCAGCTTCCTTTCCAGCTTCAAGCTTCGTCCCAGACCCTCTTTAGTAGCGTCTAAGAGAACGTCAACTCCCACCGTCCTTACAGTTATGACCTGGACTCTTCAGTAACCTACACGTCCCCCGGATTCAAGTAAGCTCCTCCGATGACACCAATCAACCAGCAGGCCATTTCAAGTAGTCTGGAAATCTTGAAAATTAAGACCATGAAAATTGCTAAAATCCAACTTCGTTCCTCAAGGTTTCTTTGGGCAAACCGCAAGCGGTTTGCGTCACCTGTTCACAACAACTCCCCAAGCAGCTTTCCCCATATTCCGAGATCCTCTGATTGCATTGGCGAATATTCACCCGTGGTTCGCTCGAAAGTCACCGCCCGCTCGGATGGGGAGCTAAGTCACCTGATTTTGACAATGAAAGAGTTATTCCGACGTTTTCCCGACCGAGGGCGAGCAGCGGGGCCCCGCTTTTCTCTCGTGCGCGTCCTCTAAGAGCCCTTTGTTCCTCAAGGCACTCTCCCCACATCCGCGATCCCTCCCACACCACCTCCGTGGAGCCATGAAGTCATCGGCGGGCGTTTCGAATGCGAACCCGTCTCGGACGCGCCGTGAAAGTGCACCAGCAAACGGCACTCCTGGCTCATTGGCTGGCTGGTGGGCTTCCCAGCTACGCCATCCAGCTACGCCATCCAGCATCGCAATCCGCGACGCCTACATCTTCCGATCGCAACCCACGGCTTCTCACCCTCCTTTCCAATCAATATGGCCCAAACTCGAGGACAGCGAGCCGCCCAAACGAAGGGGCAAGCTTTAGCGCCAAAGGAAAGGGGTACGCTCCGTGGTACACAAGCGTAGCAGTGCGGTCGCTGACCCTCAACAGGAAACCAACCTTCCCACGCCAGAGTCCCCCGGCGAAGCGCGCGCCTCGATGGCCGTCGAGTGCGGACCGCAGAGCACGCCGAATCGTCCCACGCACCTCCCCCGGGTGTAGTGCTCCATGAAAAGGTAGGAGAGCCGTACCTTTCACGACCACCGTCATCTAACCTGCGAAAGGATCAACCGACTTCTCCTGCACCCAGAGGCCGGAAACGATTGCGCACCGCTGCAGATCCACTTGAACCCACTCACGAAGAACCTCCCGGGAAGCGTCGACGATCGTCCAGACATTCCGTCGAGGAGATAATCGACCAAGAGGCGGCACAAGAGGACGCCGAAGGTCCATCAGATCCCATCGCCTTCTGGGCTCAAGAAGGCAAGTGGCCGCCGGGATTCTTCAAGCAGGGCGACATGGAGCACTTGCTTGCGAGGAAGAAGTCGACGTCGGCGCTGGGCAGGAAACGATCGGAAGCCGGCTCGTCGTCGACAACGCCTCATTCGACCCAAGCTAGCGATCAGAGACCGAGAGAGGAGAAGAGCACGCCGTATCGAGACCCACGCTACAAGACCCTTCTTGAGACCAAGGGTAGTTTCATGGACAAGTCCGACCTGGGCATCACGGATGCAAGCAAAACGCTTTGCCGTACTCTACTGGAAAAGAAGCAGTCTGTCCCACAGGATTCCTTGTTCCGCGATGACATCTTCGAATCAACCTGCCAGAGGGTGGAAGACAGGAACGAGGCCAGAGTCATCCGGGATATCACCCCGCTGATCGTCCCCTCGGCGGAAATTCTCGCCACCTACGGCGCCACGAAGTTCAACTGCTTAATTGAGAGCCTCAATGAAGGATGGAATAACTCGGTTCCCCTGACCGGAACCCGTCCGCAACCCGACTACTCGGTGGGATTCAGGCGGCAGGCCTTTTCAGACGATCAACTCAGCAAGCTTTTGCCATTTATTGGCAACTGGATTTCCGGTGACCAGTCTTACTTCATGGCCACGTACCTCATGTACTTCCCCTTCCTCTCTTGCGAGGTAAAGTGTGGTGCTGCAGCACTCGATACTGCAGACCGCCAGAACGCCCACACCATGACGCTTGCCGCGCGGGCCATCGTCGAGCTCTTCCGCCTTATCAAGCGTGAGAGCGAACTCCAACGCCAGATTCTCGCCTTCTCAATCTCACACGACCACCAGTCGGTACGGATCTACGGCGAATATCCAGTAATAAATGGGAAGGATACCAAATACTATCGTCATCTAATCCGTAGATTTGACTTTACGGAACTTGACGGCAAGGAGAAGTGGACGGCGTATCGTTTCACAAAGAACGTCTACGACGAATGGATGCCGCAACACCTTGAGAGGATCCGCTCGGCCATCGATCAGTTGCCGTCCAATCTGGACTTTGATGTTCCGTCGCTCCAAGAAACAGGTCTTTCCCAGGGGCTCGAGAGCCATCATCTGCGGGACGACGATACGGCGTCATTGTCGAAGGAAGGTGGTGGCCAGTTAAGCATCGCTGATCACCGGCCCACTCCGGACACGTCGTTCACGGAACAAGCAGCAGCAAAGAGGCCGAGGAAGAGGGCAGATGGAACCAAATAACACTTGTTCAATACACCCAGTATGAGACCAACAGACTCCACTCATGTCGCCCTCAGACGTTGGCGGACGACACTGTGATGCCGTCTTTCCGTTCGGCGAGGAATTGGAACGTGGTCGTTGTGGTCTGCACGGGGTCTCTCACAGGGCCCCAGTTTTGGGCACAGACGGGCCCGTTTCAAGGCCTTGGATAGGCCAAAAATATGGGGCCGAGGCATGGTGCGGCTGGGAAGGCTTACCTAATCCATTTCACCGCTTTCATTTTGCCGCGGTCGGTGTGCACGTCTCCCAATGACACCCTGTCGACCACTCCCACCGCTTCTAGAGGCTGGAGACGCCTAGGAACCTCGCGGCCGCAGAGCGCTGGGAAAGATGAACGACGGTACGCGAACGATGCGACAACTCAGGTCCCGATCTCGATCACGACGCCTTGAGAAGCCAACAGGGTGCGAATTTGCCCAAGCCATCCCGTCCTCCCCAGGCCCGCTGTACCTGCGGCTCGGCATGGCGCAGCTCAGGTCGGGGACGCCATCGTGGCCAGGGGGCCGGACGAGGACGGCAACCCATCCTCGCCTACATGGCATGCAGACTTTGGGAGGACGGTGGCTCGGCCACAAGGACCAGCAACTCGATCCGCTTGTGCCCGCCATCAGGCGTACACGTCGTCTTAGGTGCGCTCTTTGCCTTAGATCTCGTTACAGATCTATCACCTAATCGCTAGTATGCTTCTCCGGGGCGGCGGCTACATTTGGCAACGAGAGGTGCAATATGGAGGATCGTCTGGGAGCCAGGAACAGGTGGACAGAGCCATCTGTCGGCTCAAAAAGGTCTCATTTGTCGACAGAGGGGTTCGCCAGGATTTAAGGGCCTTGGCGGATTGTGATGGCTTACTCAACACTGAGTCCAACTGCTGCAGGCTCGCGAACAGAAAAGGACAGCCCTCGGAACTGGAATGGCGGGATGCCACGGGTCACGACTTGTAATTGTAAATGCGTGGACAGCGATACTCGAGAGCCTCGACCAGAACCTGGCAAAAGTGGCGTAGCATCTGAGTAGTTTAGAGAGTTCACTTTGGAATTGAAACTGGACCAGGATGAGGCGTTTGTGTGACAGGCGGTTCAACCCGCAACAGGGGCATCGAGCCAGATCCGACTTCGGAACATGTCTGTTACAAGCGAGTCAGAGGCGCAATGAAACACGCAGTCGCAAATGATATTGGGAAGGGTCAGCCTAGCTTTGAACTTTATGGGCCAGCGAGGGTAAAGGGGTTTGACGCCAAAGAGCGCTGGGATTGTGGGAGGGAGGTCGTCTGATAGCCACATAAGACCTTCAACTCTTTGGAAAGACTCGCCTCAGTAACCATAACCGCGTGATGATCTAGCTTGAGGATGGGATGCTAGCACCGCCCAAAGGCGCCTACGTCGGTGATTCCCGTCACGGACGACGTTGTGCCGTCGCCCAGGGGGCTTTCGCAAGATGGGCGGACTACTTGCTCAACGCTATCCAAGCTCGCTTCGACCTCGCCCGACCATCTTGCTACCTGACCGAGGAACCTTCAACAAGAAACGACCGACCACTACTTACCCTAGCTAGCGGCACTACCACCGCTATAGCTTCTAAGCGCCAGATATACACCGTTGTAACTTAGAGAGCCTGGTGCTGACAGTCTCAGCTTGACTATGTCGACCTCGAAAGTAGATGGCTTTAAGTCCCCATCGAAAATGACCAGCTCTGACCTTATATCACCACCATCGTCCAAGCCAACGCATCAGTCCTTCCGCCTCGACGTCTCACCTGCTTTCACATTTCCAATAACCTCTTAGGAAAGCTCGCGAAGCGCGCCGATGCTGGAGAGGTGATAGGAAAAGAGGGGCAAATGGTTGCTACTAGTAGCTGGGAAGATGACAGAAAGAGGGGCAGGCTGTGCTACTAGTAGCTGGAGAATGGTAAAAATGGTATCTGGGAAAATGATAGAAAGAGGAGCAGGCTGTTGCTACTAGTAGCAGGAGAATGGCAAAAGAGAGGGGCAGGTTGTTGCTCCTAGTAGCAGGAGAGGTAACAAGGCAAGGTAAAGATTAGCAAGTTACTGCTACTAGTAGTAGTAAGAAGAAGAAAAGAGGGGCAAGAGGAAGTAAGATGCTACTAGTAGTAAGAAGAGAATAAAGGAGGGGCAAGTGGTTGCTACTTGTAGCTGGAGAGGTAACGGGAAAGAGGGGCAGGCTATGGCTACTAGTAACTGGAGAATGGCAAAACAGGAGACCGGTCCCCTACGGGGCCCGCCAATGCCTTTCGGAACAGGCCTGAGAAGTGGAATAAAGAGCCTGGCAAAGAACGATGCTGACAAAGGTATAGGGCGGCATCAAATAATACATGTGAAGCAGAGAAAAAAGTGGAGGAGAGCAGACGGACTGGACGTAGATTTGGGCAAGAAGGGAAGAGACGAATAGATGATGGCTGGCTTTGTGAGTTTTATGGGGCGAAGAATCCTGCTATGGTTATTGCCAAATAGCAATGATAACCATTAGAAGGGAGGGAGGCGAGCGGTGACATGATTGAGACAGTTCCGACGTCTCTCAGAGCGAGGACAAAAGTTAGGGAACCCTGCCGTCGTTTATATGGGCGTTAATCTTATCGTACGCGTGAAGAGGCTGGTACTCTGACGTGGTAGGATGCGCGTTGAGAAGTCATTCGGGAGGTGGGGACGCAACATGCTGTCCCGCGCCGCGTCGTAGTAAAGTTTGGGCCGCGCCGTGTGCGGAGACCCTGATTTGACTTTGCCAAGTTGACCACGAGATATCGGTCCCGCATTCTGTCTGCAAGGAGGGGGAAACGCCTCATCACCGGAGACCCGACCGCCCGTGCAGGTCTTTCAAACTCCCAGTTCGTCGAGGAGGTTGTGAAGTAGTTATTAGAGGATCGGGCAAAGAAGCAGTAGCAGCTCTCCCTCATGGGGAAAGACGTCAAGGTTCGAGAGCAGGCCGAGAAGCTGGCATAGTTCCTTCTCTGGTCTGATAGAGTCATCAAGTTGGCTGTCAGCGCTCAACCGTATGCAGCCTTGGCCTGGTCTGGTGTATCACTACTGCTTCCCATAGGTAAATAATTCTCCTTGCTTCTAATCGCATGCTTACCGGGCATACAGCTACTCACGAGCGGTGCCATGCAAAACGAGGCCATGCTGAAAGGCTTCAATTCCGTCGGCGATATCCAACTGTATTGGAAAAGCTGCGAGGATACCGATCTTCTATCCCCACATCAGCACAACTACAAGGATCTTATGGAACCCTTGTCTAAGCTCTATTCCTATCTTATCGAATATCAAGCCCGGGTAATATGTCACCTCTCCAGTACCCAACTCGCCCGTGCGTGGCAGAAAGTGGCTGGCTGGAACGACTGGAGCGGGAAAGAGCGTGACATCGGTGACTCCCATGCCCGGTGTGAGGGCTACATCAATCCTCTCCAACAAAGGGAAGTTCGGAAACATCGCGACCATCAGCTCCAAGTGATGCAGAAATCGTGTAGGATTGAAGAGAAAATCCTCCAGGCCCTAGAGGAAGGCAAGCAGGACGAGAAGGAGACACGACTGCTTCAAGACCTCGCCTTGGCGTCGTCGGGTTATGAAGCCGATAAGGATTTCAACCCAAATAGAGTATAAGGAACCTGCAAATAGTTCTTCGCCGACGAGACAGTTTGCAAATGGCGCGATAGCGAGTCGTCAAGTCTCCTCTGGGTCTCTGCGGGGCCTGGATGCGGCAAGTCAGTTTTATCGCGAGCTCTGATTGACGAGGGTCATTTAGCCACCAGCGTCAATACGATTACCATCACACCCTCGGCCATCACGACTTCTACAGGCACGACCTCAACCGTCTGTTACTTCTTCTTCAAGGACGGAGACGACCGCCGTATGGACGCTGCGCATGCTTTATGTGCAATACTGCACCAGCTATTCTCAAGCGCCTCTACCAGCAGCCTGATCAAACATGCACTTTACAGTCACAAGAACTATGGCAAAGCTCTGGCACAGAACTTCTCCGAGTTATGGCGGATCCTGGTAGACTGTGTTAAATCCTCGGATGCCGGAGAAATCATTTGTGTCCTGGATGCCTTGGACGAATGTAATGAGAGCAGCCGGAGGGAAATAATCGGCAAGCTTAAAGACTTCTATTTCCGAGAGCAGCACCAGCTGAACACAAAGCTTAAGTTCCTTATAACCAGCCGGCCCTACGATGACTTGGAAAGATCTTTTGGAACCTTCTCTGCAACTACTATATATCTTCGATTTGACTGTGATGATAAGTCCGAGGAGATCAGCCGCGACATTAATCTAGTTATTGAGGCCAGAGTCGATAAAGTTGCTAGCAGTTTCAGACTCGAGGATCGGTACAAGATTTCTAAGCGTCTTCAGAAATGAAGAATCGCACATACCTATGGCTGCACCTGACATTTAACATCATTGAGGAAAGCCCGAGTGAATATAGCAGACGATCAGACATAGAAGGGGTTTTGTCTGATCTACCATCTCAAGTGTCTGATGCGTACGAAAAGATGTTGGACCGAAGCAAGAATTCAGCGAAGACAGAAGCACTTCTTCAAATCGTGCTTGCCGCGGCGAGGCCTTTGACTCTTGACGAAGCCAGCTATGCCCTTGCATTAGCGTTACAAAAGCAAAAGTTCACTTCGCATAGAGATCTTGAGGTGGCCCGGTGGAATGAAGATTTCAAGGGCGTGGTGAAAAACTTGTGTGGTCTTATCATCAACGTCTACGATTCGAAGTTGTCCTTCATTCATCAGACAGCCAGGGAGTTTCTCACTGGCACTACTGAGCGGAATATTAAGTGGAAGGGGCGCTTCAGCAACACACCAAAATCGCACAATACGATATCACGATGCTGCCTACATTACCTCCTGCTGCCGGACTTACCTGCGCAAGATCAGTCCAACCCTGCTAACGATCAAAAGTACCCACTCATCGATTACGCTGCTACTAACTGGCCGTTCCATTACACTTCGCAGGATACGGTTGCGAGAGTTGGTTCTCGTAAAGATGCTCGAATGCTTTGCCGTATCTCCGGAACCCAGGCGAGGGTATGGTGGCCAATTTCCTGGCGCAGGATTTTCGGCTGGCCTGACTGGTCTGACTGGACTGACTGGACTGATCTGGCGTTGGCGAGCTACTTTGGTCTTCTGCCAGTCGTCAACGATATATTAACAGAGGGAAGTGTTGATATTAATGCGCGAGGCGGATACTACGGCACAGCACTGCAGGCAGCATCGGCACAAGGCTATAAGGGCGTCGTACAGACCCTACTTGACAAGAATGCCGACGTCAATGCAGAAGATGGATGGTACGGCACGGCGGTCTTCGCGGCGGCCTCGGAAGGCGGCCTCGAAGTGATGCAGGTGCTCTTAAGCAGGGGAGACGAGGTCAAGATCACAGCAGATGTGGTTGAGGCTGCAGCAGAGAATGGGAGTAGCGGGAAAGAAGTGATGGCACTGCTTCTCGAGAAGCGAGGAGATGAGGTTAAGATCACAGCAGATGTGGTCAAGGCTGCAGCGGGGAATGAGGGTAGTGGGGAAGTGATGGCATTTCTTCTCGAGAAGCGGGGAGATGAGGTCAAGATTACAGCAGATGTGGTTAAGGCTGCTGCGGGGAATGAATATGGCGGGAAAGAAGTGATGGCACTGCTTCTTAAGAAGCGGCCAGAAGGACTACAGCTTACAGAAGAGGTGGTATGTAGTATTGCAGAAGGGTTTGAAGAAGAAGCGATAGCACTGCTTCTTAAGAAGTGAGGAGATGACGTCAAGATCACAGCAGATGTAGTTAAGGCCGTGGTGGGGAATGAGAGGAGCGGGAAAGACTTGACTTAAGAGCCAGAAGCTAGATAAAGTGTTTCACGGCGATGTATTCATCAAGTGTTATAGGCCGGGTTGCTTCGCTGCTTGTCTGTCCCACGGCTGGCCAGGCGCCAAATGACGTTGGCAAAGTCGTGTGCCACGGATAAATATTCGGGGCGGCTGTCGACCAAACTCGGCTTGCCAGGCATGGCTGCTGTAGTGGCGGCTAAGGCCGACTAGGAAGAGAACTACTCCGCAGGAAATGGAGGTCTCATGCCGGCGAAGCTCACCTAGCTCAGCTCCGCCAAGTCGCGCGATTAGCGATGGGTTGTGTGTCGCTCTGTGGCGATCGTTCTGTGGCTAGGTATCGTTCTGTGGCTAGGTATCGTTCTGTGGCTTATCGTTCTGTGGCTTATCGTTCTGTGGCTTATCGTTCTGTGGCTTATCGCTCTGCGCCTTATCGTTCTGTGGTTATCGTTCTGTGGCTGCCTTCTGTGGCTCCCCTCTGTGGCTCCCCTCTGGCTCCCCTCTGTGCTCCCCTCTGTGGCTTCCTTCCGTGGCTGCCATGACCCGCGACGCGATCTGAGTGCTTGGTTGCTCTGCTTGCACCGGGTAGTCGCCACGAAGGCACGAAGGCGCGCATCGCGACCGCGGGACAAGGCGCCCGTCAGAATACCTCGACCGCGGAGAGGAGTTCAATCTCCAAGGCCTCGCAAGAATGGCGCGCTATCTAAACCCGACAAAAATCTGCCTTCTCGTCCTCACCGAGCTCTACAATGAAGGCGCTGTGCCCAGTGATGCCGTCTTGCCCGTCCTCTCCTTCATCACGTCCCATCTCATGGATCACCCTCCCGCGAAAGCCACCGCAGACCAAACCGCGCGATGGAACAGAGCCGAACGCACAGTCAGTCTGGTCATCGCCATCAAGGACTTTGAGAGGCTTCTCGGCAGCTACCCCTTCCTCATGGGCATGCCTGGCCGGAAGCTATGGGACCAGTTCCTCGGGAAGCTCTGGGACATCAACTCCCTCGACGCTCTGCACGAATTCTTTGAGAACCTCCTCGACATGTTGGCTAAGAGCAAGGAGGAGAGGCGGAGACTTGTGGAGCTGGGCGAGCTGGAGGAGGAGGAGGAGGAGGAGGAAGGCATCAAGTTCTCGCCGAACTCGCCACTGGGAATGTTTCTTCGCAGGGCTCGGTTGGAATTCCAACGCCTTCAGTTCCACGATTGCACCGAGCTGTGGAAGAACTTTGTGCGCTATCGACAGCCCACGGCTCACTATCTCAAGAGGAAGATCCCGGGCTTTGGGCGCCTCAGCTTCGACAATGTTCTCCTCCAGGGCGAGCAGGAGGACTGGGACCACAAGGGTGTCATGGATCTGGCGTCTGTGGCGTATGGAGACATGCTCACCGGGGACCAGAGCAGCACGCTGGCGGTCAGCACTGATGACATTGAAGTTCTGCTCGAGTTTCAGATTGAGCAGATGCAGAGTGAGTAACGCTCCTTGGCCGGCTTCTGTGCGTTGACTGACCTGCCTCAGAATACGGTAACAGGATACCGCAGGAGATTGCGCACCAGTTTCACGATTTGCTCAACGACAGCTTCCTGATTCCCAGTCTTACGCATTATCTCACGTATGCTTGCTGAATGCCCGCTGCCGTTGTCGTCTCTTCTAACCCTTCCCCAGCTTTCTTGACTCCTGGAGAGCAGGAGATTATCCCACCGCGTTCGACTCCCTCCACCGATACTTCGACTACACGATGCAGAACCGAGATCGCATGTTCTATCAATACGCTTTGATGAACCTGGCCGTTCTCCAAGCCGACTTTGGCTGCCACAAGGAGGCAGTCTCAGCTATGCTGGAATCCGTCTCCACCGCAAGAGAAAACCGCGACCTCACCTGCCTCAACTTCGCCCTGAACTGGTTGTTCCACTTTGGCCGTGCCCATCCCGAACTCGTCCGGGATCTGGAGGCTGACAGCATGCTGGGTACTGGTAAGGACAGCCTGGCGTTTCTTCGTGTCAAGGCCAAGGAAACGGGGATGTGGACGCTCTGGAGTTCTGCGCTCTTGAGCGAAGCCAAACTTGGTCTTGTCAATGGCGACAGCGTGGCGACGGCACTCGAGTTCATGGTACGGAGCTCCCAAGTAATCATCGAGAGGAACATGAAGAGCATGTTTGGATCTCAGCTTTCGCTTTCTGCCGCCTTGTGGGACCGACTGGGGCTTTCCGGTCTGGCTTTCATGACGAACGAAGTCTTTCTCCGTTGCTATGCGAGGCATTCAATATTCGACGACGAGCTCAAGGTCACCTCCCGCATTTCACTCATGCTGGCGGCTCGCGGCAAATACGATGAGGCGCTTGGGAAGATGGAGGCTTTGGAAGAAAACTCGCTGCGGTCGTGGAAGCCGAGCCAGTACTGGCACAAGTACAGGGGCGTGATCAAGCTGAAAAGGGACCTGTACCATAACAATCTCGAGGGAGCAGAGCAGCTCCTGTCCCAGATGATGCAATCGAGCATGGACGATCTGGACCCGGACATGGCCTTCCACATTGACACCCTCCACATCGACTGCTTGACTCGTCGGGGCGACCTTCAGGCTGCCTTTGCAAAGGTTGACAGTCTGATGTCAAGGCTGGGCGACGAGAAGAAAGACGTGACTCTCCGCGTTAGGCTGCTGGTGCTGAAGGCGTCGCTCCTCGACAAATGCGGGCGGCCGCAGAGAGGCTTCACCATCGCGATGCGAGCCACGAGCATTTCCTGGCGAGCGCGAATCATCCCGGCCCTCTGGCACTCGACCGGCGCCCTCGCAAACATCCTCGTCTCGCTGGCCGAGTTCGAAGCGGCGTCCCAGCTCCTAAACGCAGTCATCCCACGATCGCTCGAGTGCGAGGCGCCCGCCCTCACAGCCCAGCTCTACTCGCACCTCGCCGACGCAAACATGGGCCTCGCGGGGAAGCACGACGCCAAGTCGAGCACGCGCAAGGAGTATCTGACCAAGGCGCTCGCGGCTGTGCAAAAGTCCTTCGACCACTACTCCAGCATCGAGGACATCAACCAGCAGTGCCAGATGATGGCCAAGAAGGCGATGATCATCAAGTTATCCGGGGACATGGTGCTGGCGGCGGATTATGCGGCGGCCTACGTAGCATTGCGAAAGAGCGCTGAACTGCTCAGCCTTGGGGGGGCGTGAACGGTGACGGGTGGTTACAGTGGAAATGGGATGGTATTCAGGTATTCAGAGGCGAGAGCCATGGCGCACACTCGGGGTTCATCATGCACATGGGACGGGATCGAGACACGGTGGATGGTGAATGCTTGTATTGATATGACTATCTGTGGCGAGGCAAATCGGGATTCAACCATCATTTTCTTGCTAATCTTGATCCGAGTAGCTACGTAGAGAGCGCACAACCTTTGGAGAACGCACTGTTGCCGTTCTCACCTTCCATGGTGAATGTGCCAAGAACCAAAGACTTTGAGACGGATCAACTGCGCTGGAAGAAGAGACTCCACGTCCAAGGGCCTTCTCGATGAAGGATCCTTTCAGCGTTGTGAACGGACTTTAGTTCGTATTTTTCCTGGCTGTGAATTTGTAGCCCTGGTTCTGCTGTTGCTTGTGCTTCCGATTTCCATCCTGGACCAAAGCTCTCCAATAGGTCTTGACCTCAGGTGTCTCGTCCCGCCACATCTTGGCGATGATATTGGCTAAAATTGTCAGAGGCGATTTGGTACTTGATCTAGGGACTCACAAATTCTACTAGCAGGGATTCCAGGGTTCTTTTGAGTGACCTCCTGGGACTTTGCTTGCCGGTACAGCATCCACTCGTAATCGGGATGGGGAATGGGAATCCGTGGTGGACCGGCAGCACCTTCTGCGTTGTTAACTCGTGTAGCGCGTGCCTGAACAGTTTCATCTTCAAATTTCAAGTTAGTAGTGCGCAAATTGTAAGTTTCACTGGGAGGCTCGTACCGCATGTAAAGCAAAACAGCCCATACGACGTTCCCATCAAGACATGGTAAGAGAGAGGACAGAGGCGGTACTTCTGGCGATGGTGATCGAGAAATGTCGTGACTGGCTGATTGACTCGACGGCTGGCAAGATTAGCTAGACTCTAACTCATGTGCATTGGAGTATCGCTCTACCTCAGGGTCATCGCGACTCGGTACACGACTCTGATGTCAAAGGACTCAGGCAAAAAAACGTGGACATCACCTTGTACCGCAGAGAACACAAAGGTGAGTGGGACGTCTTGTGGAAGCTGCAAAGCAGCTGCGGGGAGGTCAGCCCGAGGTGGCATGGTGATGGTCTTGGTTGTAGAGTGGCGGAATGTAAGGTAATGCGAGAAAACTATCGTGGTGAAAATTTGAAGAGATAGAGCGAGATGGCATGCAATTTAAGGCCTCAGAAAATGGGTGCCTGAGTTGGTGGCTTCAGAACAATAGCTTTTCGTTTGGTGGCTTCGGAACAATAGCTTCTCGTTTGGTGCCTTCAGAACAATAGCTTCTCGTTTTGTGCCTAAGGTACCTAGGCAGCCGTTTTGTTTGGGCGAATGGCCCTCATTGTTAACTGGCGGCCGAGCACGCGACTTTTTACAGCTGCACCTCACTTGGAGTTCCCGCGATTCTTCACCTTTCACCATCACAAAACCCAAGATGGACAATTTGTTGTTCTACAGACCTCTTTGGGAGGAGAAAGCCTTGGCGACAAGTTCTTCAAAGCATCTTGAAAATCTTCGTTTGGATATCATGGAGAAACTCTTGCACGCGCTGCCCTTGGATGTGAAACTACCAACGGCAACAGGTAGGAACCCATCCCCAACACAATTTGTCTTTATGAAGCTCACCAATCTCTAGCTGTGGTCACTTCCAGCATCGAAGTCATCAAGACACTGTTCAAGGAGGCCTCTGGAAGCAACGATATCCTACAGACAATCTTGGATCACTCCCAGGAAGCCGATGTCGACCCAAATCTTCTCCTTCGAGGTGCCATCGTTTTGTGGTTTACCAGCGCATCCCCCATCCTTTCGCGCGACCCTTACTTAGGTTTGCCTCCCAAGGCCATGTCGGGGGGAGGCCTGACTTTTCCATGGGTCCAGAAATTGGCCGAGAAGAATTTCCTCATTGGAAACTTGGGCTACTTGTCCATGCTGATGACAGCCGAATCCTGGGAGAAGCCTTCCCATCCAAAACTGCAGGTAGCAACCCTGATGGCAAATGCGATCATCTCCTTTCTTTTCGCTACGTTCGTCATCGCACCTCACCTGAAAACCCAACCGCAATGGCGCCAGTACATCACAAACTCGGAGACCAGAGGTCACAAAGAGATGACAGTCTTCCTCAAGACCACATGGCAAGTCTCCAGGGAGGGGTGGGAGAAGTTCGACCACCCACCCGGTGCCGAATTTTCGGCTCTGAACACCGAAGTCAAGATGTCCCTTGATGGGAGAAATCTCTTGACCCGCGTTGGTCGTCCAGGCTGGCATGTTGCACCATATTGGCATCCTTTCCGGGTTGTCCCTGGTTCCCCATGGAACAAGTTCATCAGAAACAGACGGCAGAAAATCTTTCAGATCTTTCCAACTTTGGATAATCGCGTCCGGTACATGGTACCGGGATCCGCCACTACACTTACTGGTTCCTGCGAAGCTTACTATGGCGTTCTCCGCTCGCAGTTTGACTCTGTGAGTGGTTTCTTGTTATTTCTCCAGGATTTAACTAACATTTTGCTTTCAGACAAACACACGACGAGCCAGGCTTTCAGATCAGGCGCGTAACCGGCAGTTCTGGCGGTTGGCCGAGGGGACTGGTCTCCAATACCCCGCTGTGAGACCAACAGAGCAGGTACGTTTCAATCTTCTCCAGAAAGAGCGAGAGGCTCACCAACCACACAGAACTCCTCCAGCATCCAGGACTACGGACGAGCTGAACACATGTACAATGTGCCATTGGTATGGCCACCTCTTCTCCAGAGTTTCGTGAAGCCTGAGCTAACTCCCACCAGATCAAAAAGCCCGCTTCGGACTTAAGCGGGAACTTGACTCCACCATTTTTGACCACCACCGCTCGAGCTCTACGATTTGCACAGGAACCTGAGTCTGTCGATGAAGACTTCTACGCTATGGTTTTTGGTCACTAGGTTAACTTCCCACACATGGAGACGTGAAGTTGCATCAACTGGAAACCGATGAGAAGGCGTGGTAGCTACTCTTTTAGTGTGACCCTCTACACTGTAAATAGTGCAAAGAGAGTAGACAAAGAATATGAAAGTGCTTTTAAACTTGTTCGCGTACCTGAATTGGCTGCTTCAGGCGATGCTCTCCTGCTTCCAAGTATCCTCAGTGTCTCATTTCAGGTTGGTACGTGTGCAGGTGGTCACAGCTGCCAACAATGCTTCCACCGACAACAGCTGGCATGCATCCCCACCCGTTTGGCGCATTCAAAACGCCCCGTGGCCAGCCACCGAGCACAGAAAACTCATTGTCCCTTTTCGGCCAACAAGATTTTACTGGCACCACACCCAATATTCTGCACACCCTCTCCCCCCATTTAAATCCCCATCTCTCCCTCCTTCTCCCTGCTTTTCCACCAAACACTCAACATCTTTCATCACTTTACATCAAAACTTTCTCCTCACTTCAACATGGTTCAGTCGCGATCTGAAGTCATGCAGCAGTTGGCCTCTCTGTCGACTGCAGAGATTCTCAGTCTTCTCACTGATGAAACCATCCTCGAAGTTGCTGCCAAGTACTTCGAAACCCACGCCACCAACATCGATGTCAATCTGCCTCTGAGCCCTACTGAGGTGGACGCTATCTTGACTCCTCCATCTCCCACTCAGTCCGATGTCACCCCTGCTCCTCGTGCCAAGCGGCCTCTCAATGCTTTCATGGCATTTCGCAGTATGTCCCCGTTTCCCTCTGGCAACACCAGCCGCTTACCACTCCCAGCTTTCTACATGAAAATCTTCCCGGACATCCAGCAGAAGAGCGCTTCTGGCTTCTTGACCACTCTTTGGAACAAGGACCCGTTCAGAAACAAGTGGGCACTCATTGCAAAGGTCTACTCTTTCGTGAGGGATGAGGTCGGCAAGCGCAACATCGCCTTGTCGCGCTTTCTTGATGTTTGCTGTCCTGCCATGAACATCATCCACCCAAGCCGCTACATCGCCGCTCTTGGCTGGTCTGTTACTTATGATGACGCCGGCTGCCATGTCCTCCATCAAGACCGCCCGACCGACCTGGACCATTTCCAGAATGAGGTTGTCCCAAGCACTGAGATGGATCTCCTCCGTGCTCTTCTGCAGACAGGGTACCTTTCTGATCGCGGTCTGGCACTCCTGGAGCGACTCGGCGAGAGCACCAACGGAATCATGACCACCTACGGATCGTCGATTGAGCCACCAGCGATGCAGACTCCGGAGAAGATTAGCTTCATTGAGACCATTCGAGCAGATCCAGTTCACGCGGCGAAGGAACTGTTTCGGGCTAGAGAAGATGAGTATCTCAACCCCCGGGCAGTTGCCACCTACGAAGTCCACGATCTTAGCAGCGCACCCTACACTGCGATGCAAGCTCCTCAGCCGGATCCTCTCCAGTACTACAACTTCGCTGGGGCGAGCATGGGACTTCGCCCAGGCAGAACCTTCCACCTTCGCAGTGTTGAGGAGTTCGATTCCATTGACATCGACAGCCCCTACGACGTCGATGCCATGATGGGATACACTCAGTCAGAGGGCGAGAGAAGTGAGTGCAATCATGACATGTCAGGAATAGCTACTAACAAATTATAGCTGAGGGTCAAGAGGACACGAACCCTTACGATCCTCAGTCCGAGTATCACCCCCTGGGTTAAGCTCGCTTTCAGTCTCGGTTGGACAGAGATGGTTGGACAGTGGGAGAGGTACGAGATGATGGCACACATGTGAAGTGTGGATAACACTGGGAGGATGCTCGGAAAGGAATTTGTTCTGTTTAGCTCACTCCGAAACACAAAATGACTTGATTCTGAATGCTATATTTCCTTGCTACAAGATCCATCGTATGGCTACGTGGTGGCGAGAATTTGGGGCGTCTTCTTGGCATTACGCAGGCTCAATCGAATGTGAGGTGGGAGTGAAGGCTGAGGGCAAGGTGAGAATAGAGGTCGGTTTTAGCGTTTGCGGCGATGCGCACTGCGCAGCGGTCGAGACGTACCAGTGACGAACTCAGCTTAGTGTACAGTGACAATGTGGAACAGTAGGGCTAAAACGAGCACATCCTCCGGGGACCGGGCTCGGGCGGGCCGGGGGAACCAGTGGAGGGTCCTGTGTCGGCTCCAGGGTCAGTTTAGAGTGATTTACACAAGGTTCACAGTGGAGTCTGGAGAAGCATGAGCTCTTAGGTGGTGGGGGCGGGGACGGGTGGGTGGCAGGGCGAGCTTGGGCAAGCAAGTCGAGCGTTGCAACAGGGCGCCACGTCGTCGACTTTGCAGAAGGAGCGAGCCAGCGGGCGCTTGATTTAGAGGCACTTCTCGATCTAGGTGGTGGGCAGGCACTTAATCTAAGGGGTTTAGTGAACCCCCCCTCCAGTTTGTGAATCGAAGGCAGAGAATCGAAGGCAGAAGTGCGCCAGGGTTGCATTGCGGCTGGCCACTCCCACTCCCACTCCCACTCCCACTCCCTCCGCGCTTGCCTCGGCGGCGCTTGGCCTTGGCAGCCGTCAAGTTTGCACGGGCAGGCACACCAGGGCAACGTCACCTGGCGAAAGTTGCGCTGCGAGAACAAACAACAAAACGTCGTCGGGGGGCGTCCATTGTTTGTTTTTGCTGCGTGCGGCGGGCGGCGGGCGGCCCAATGACCCTCGGGCCGTTGGGGGGGGCTCGTGTTCGCCCGGCCCGGGGGGGGACACTTGTTCGCGGTTGCGCAAAACCAAACAAAAAAAAAAAAAAAAAAGAGAGAGAAATCCCGCCGCGGTGGTTGAGCCGTGGTCTCAGTGCGCGCGCCCTTGCCTTGCGTAGGTAGCGAAGACTCGCCCTGCGTCCTGTGCGCGCTGGGGGAGCTTGACAACTCACCTTGGGTTCAGACACAACTCACCTCGCGTTCAGACACACAACAATCCCGGCTCAGTCGCATACCAGTGCAGGGCCTCATCCGAAACACAGCCGCCAGGGCCTCTTCCGAAACAAAAAGTGGAGGAACCCCCCCCCCCCCCCCCCCCCAATCCCCCTCCTCGCCGAATTCCAATGACCCGATGACCACCATGGCACCAACAACAATATCAAGAGCGCGCAAAAGTAAAAATAAACCCCCAGCCGAAATCATCCCAAATCAATAGCGGCAGTTCCACCAACAGTCCTGAATCAACGCTTCAAACCCCTGTCCGAAAGCATAACTCGACTCGGCCCCCCGGCCAGCCGATCTCGTTTGCTTGGCGCCCCATCGCGCATCGCGCATCGCAATCGCGGCAGGGTTACAGCAGCCGATGCAACGACGCTAAAAACGCCCCGATCAGGTGGGGCAGGCAAAAAACGTTCTCCTGCAGCTGCGAGTTGACTGGCTGGCTGCGCGCAACAGCATCAGGGGACCACATCCGATCCGGGCTGAATCTGAGCGGTCGGGGGTGAAGAGGGTTCTGAGGCTAGTGTGAGAAGCGAGCGAGAACAGGGTTTCTGAGGCGGTGGGGGGGGGGGGGGCTAGTGCGGTGTTCTGAGTTGTGCGTGTGAGGGCGCAGGCTGAAGGAGCTAGAGTGTTCTGAACTCTGACTCTAAACGGAGACTTTGTTTGCTTTGGCTGTGTTTTTGCGAAATTGCGACGGCTCTCGCACAAACAAACCCCGGCGCCATCGTCACAACCAACAAACCACCACCAACAACGCCTTGGCACATGCCAGTCCGGACAGTGCTAATGATGCTTCCTGCAGCCCGTGATTTGTCAACGCGGCGGCGTTTGGGCGTTTGGGCGAGATGGATGGATGGATGGGTGGTGGTCCGCGGCCCCGATATCATCAAATCTGCCAAAAGCGGAGTCGTGGGTTGGCACTAGAATTGGCTAGGCCATCGCATCGTCACTGGGGGGGCCATGGTCACTGGGGAGCCATCGTCGCTAAGGCTAATCGTCACTGGGGGCTCACAACTTAATCACTTTGAGAAGAGGGGGGGGGGGCTAGAATTGACTTCCAGCGCGCGCGTTGATTGTCTTGGTTGGTGCCCGCACTCTCGTTGGTCCAGCGTCGAACTTGCCGTGCGAAGCCCTGGAAAGGCCCGTGATGCCCACCACCATTTCGGCGATCCCTTTCCGCGCCAAGCCCCCGCCCTCCACTTTCCTCCAACTCGCGCTTCTGAAGTAGGGCTGAACCATGTCCGAAGGGGGGGGGGGGGATCCCGGACCCTGGGGGCCCATTGTTTTTGCATCAACCCGCCCGTCGGCTATCACGACCGCAGATAGGGAGCACCGGGCTTGGCTTGTAAATGTCCGAGGTATGGGATACGAGATGCGGTGTGACGGCGGAGCCGGGGGGCGGGACAGGATTGGGGATTCGAGATGCGGTGTGACACGGGGAGCCAGACGACAAAGATTGGCATTGGCATGCGAGACTGGGTTGAGACTGGGTTGAGACTGGTTGAGACTGGTTGAGACTGACCTTTGGCCCTTCAAACGCGCAAACCAATAGTCCATCCATAGCCCCTTGGCATCCAGCGTGGCTAGCAAGTAATCGCTGATCCAACATGCCTGATGCTGGACGCCTGATGCCGTGCCGGCACATGTACCATGTTGAATCTTGTACGTACGAGTACATTGCACTGAAACACCCTGTTCCCTGATCCCTGGCCAGCCGTCGTCACACTTGATGCTCCCAGCCCACCCCGTTGATTAGTATTGCCCATCTTTCTTCCATCTTGGCAGTCCTCCTACCTACCAGTGCCATGACCGCCACCGCCACCTACTCCTCTTGGTACGAAATCTTGACGCATCTCGCCCAGTTCTGTGCCGCGCGGCGGAGAGTGAGTTACTCCAATTGGAGAATCTCGACCTGTCACCCTGCATTAGCCTCGTCTTGGCACTCCCGCGCCATCTTTTCCATCCAGGGAAGCCATTAATCCCGTTCTCGCCCGGACCACCCCTCACTCAACCCCCATCCATAGGGCCCCCTTGGCGTCCAGCATGGCTAGCAAGCAATCGCCGATCCAATATGGGGTCATATGGCTGATCCAACATGGGTCATCCAACATGGGTCATCCAACATGGGTCATCCAACATGGGTCTAAGAATGCCCCATATAGTGTAAACTTATTCTGAGTAGACACTGTGTACAACAAGCGGCCAGTATGAGTTGGATGATGAAGCAGCACAGGTTACCTCACCCGGATTCTGTCCTTATATGTCAGGTGTCAAGGCACCTTCTGTGGCTGCCATGACCTGGCAGTGCCATCTGAGTGCTGGGTTGTTGTGCTTGCCTGGTAGTCGCCACGAGGCGCGTATCGCAATCGCGACACGCGGGACAAGGCGCGCATCAGAAGACGCCGACCGCCGGAGGAATCCACCCCGACCACAGACAATGGTTCTTTATGCACTTGGCCTTTGTACCGAAGCCGGAAGGCATATGGTGTATATATTTCCTGGAGTCGAATTGACTAGCAATTTGGCCGTACGTACGACCTGTACGGATGGCAGAAAGGGGGGATGTGAGGTCGGTCTTTTTGCTCTCACTCGCAACCTGCCGTATCAGCCGGCATTGCCCATAAGATCTATATACTGAACAGTCCAGCTCACTCCTCTCAGCTCTTCAGTGTCTTTAAGCTGAAGCCTTTTTGCAACTTGAGGATACTCTCCAGGCGTCGTGCGGTCATCTGGACGCAAGAAGTCGCCATCCCGGTAATGATAGGGATTGAGGAGGACCTTGATCAGGTAAAGCCCTGTCAATAGGTTCAGAAACCCCGGAACGTGCTTCCTAGTATCCCATTCAACCTCTCCAACAAGAACAGTCTCGATTCGGCCGAGCTGATGACCGTAATATTCCTCTAGCTCATTGAACTGAGCCATGGAATCTCCGTCAAGCGCATCGAGAATGACGGCACCTTCGACAGTCTGCTCAACCCCGTTCCTGGGGGTCTCTATGACCCAGCTCTTGGATCATGGGGTGACTCGCCGTGAGTTTCATTCGTGTGCATCGTTGTGATTTGGCTTCCAATCATCTCCCTAGGTGCACGACGTGCCACTTGAACCAAGCAACTTGTCCGGGACATCCAGGACACATCCAGCTCCCTGTTCCTGTCTACCACCCCGTCTTCATGGATCAAGCACATCACCTGCTCCGAGCGACATGCGTATATTGCAAAGGCTTCCGAATGTCTGCCAAAGATCTGCACATGTACACGTGCCAACTTCGCCTACTCCACCACGGTCTTGTTCATGAAGCGCGTACCGTCGGTGCCATCGGAGACCTGGACCGGGCCGACGAATTCAAGTCCCCTGGTCTGGGGGACAGTGAGGCGGAAGAAGAGGGCAACGTCTCAATCGACAACATCATCCGGAAGAGAGAAGAGTGTTTGCAGAACTGCCTTCGGGGCAAGACCTCCAAGAGGGGAGACGCCAAAAGGGAGAAGCATGAAGGCGGAGGCCAAATGCGCCGGGAGGTCATCAAGGAGTTTCTTTCCGCCATCGCCAAAGGCAGACTATGTGCTGGCTGCGGAGGCATCTCGCCAGCGTATCGCAAAGACGGATCCGTCAAAATCTTCGACAAGTCGTTATCTCCCAAGGAAAAGGCGAAAATGGCGCAGAGGGGTCTTGAGAGGAAGGATGCAACAACACGAGTTCATCAGGCCAAACCGACGCGGAAATCCGAAGCCACCTTGTCAGACGGCCCCGAGGCAGCTGCCGAATCCTTGAGGGGCCAAGGCGAGGATACTCAAGTCGATGCGGTGGGGTCTGATCAAGATGTCGAACAATCGACCGCGGATACGGTTGGCCCCGCGACCTTCCAGAGGTATCTCACGCCTATGGAAGTGCGAGCCCGCTTGGTCGAGCTTTTCAACAAGGAGCGGGATCTTGTGTCACTCTTGTACGATGCGAAACCGCGAACACGAAGCTCGCCAAACGCCACTCCGGACATGTTCTTCATGACAAGCGTTCTAGTGCCACCGAACCGCCATCGACCCGAGGCTCGTACCGGAGAGTCACAGATCTCAGAAGCACCGCAAAACTCACTCTACAAGTCAATTTTACGGGGGTGCATGAAAGTAGCTGAAGTACATGCTGCTTTGAGCGAGAAGAGAGGAGGAGACGTCATGCAGTTGCATCAAGCGTGGATTGTGCTCCAAGAGGGAGTGAACGCATTGGTCGATAAGGACAAGAACCCTATGCAGGGAGCGGCTGCTGTACGCAACGAGGACGGCATCAAATAAATTCTGGAAAAGAAGGAAGGGCTCTTTCGGAAAAACCTCATGGGCAAACGCGTCAACTATGCAGCCAGAAGCGTTATTTCATCTGATCCCAATCTCAAAACCAACGAGATTAGCGTCCCTCCCATTTTCGCCCAGAGATTGATATATCCAGAGCCTGTTGCAAGCCATAACTTCAGGAATATGCAGCAGGCTGTTATTAATAGATATAATAAGTAGCCTGGAACTTTTACTATTAAAAATAAAAATAGGCAAATTATCAGCCTTAAGAATAAGTCTGTCGACGACTGCATCTCACTTACCAACCAGCTTCTTGCTCCAAGTAGCACTGCAGCAAAGATAATTAACAAGAAGGTGTATTGTTATCTTATAAATGGAGACGTGGTATTGATAAATCGTCAGCCAACCCTATATAAACTGTCTATTATAGGCCACAGGGTCTGAGTTTTACCAGGCGAAAAGACTCTTTGAATATATTATATAAACTGCAATACCTACAACGCCGACTTTGATGGAGATAAGATGAATATGCATTTCCCCCAAAACGAGATTGCCCGGGCAGAAGCGCTGCAAATCGCAGATGCCGACCATCAGTACTTGTCTGGGACACAGGGGAAACCGCTGAGAGGACTTATCCAGGACCACATCTCTATCTCTGTCGCTCTATGCAGTCGGGACAGCCTTTTCAGCCGCGGCAACTATCATCAGCTGATCTATAGCGCACTGCGACCAGAAAGCGGCCATATCCTTGGGGAGAGAATTCAGCTCGTCATACCAGCAATTATCAAACCCGTGCCGCGGTGGACCGGAAAGCAAGTTATTACGACAATACTGAAGAATATACAGCCTCCAAACTGCAGCGGTCTTACGATGCGTGGAGGAAGCCAGACTCATGCTGACCAATGGGGCCCCAAATCCGAAGAGGGTACGGTGCTGATAGAGGACGGCGAATTCATCACTGGCATTCTCGACAAAGCCCAGATCGGTCAAAGTTCAGAAAGCATGATTCACGCTATCCACGAGATCTACGGGCCATCGATTGCCGGCAAGCTTCTCAGCAGCCTCGGTCGGCTTTTGACGAGGTATCTCAACATGCGGGCTTTCTCTTGCGGCATTGATGATCTGAGACTTACACCCGAAGGCGAGCAGTCGCGGCGGCGGGAGCTTCAGCCAGCTGCTCATATTGGTCTTGAAATTGCTTCCGACTACGTCTCGCTTGGGGGATAATTCTGACCCTGCCGATGCACTGCTTTTGGAGCGTCTTGAAGAGGTGATGCGCGATGATGGCAAACTGGAAGCTCTGGATATGTTGATGAATGGGACATCTAAACACATCACGGCTGCAGTTCAAAAGGCATGTCTTCCCAACGGTCTCGACAAGCCATTCCCGCGGAACCAGATGAATGTGATGACGACCTCTGGCGCAAAGGGGTCTAGGGTCAATGCCTCGCTCATCTCATGCAACCTTGGACAGCAAGTCTTAGAAAGTCGACGAGTGCCTCTGATGGTGAGCGGTAAATCACTACCGTGTTTCAGACCCTTCGAAACCAGTATCCATGCCAATGGGTATATTACCAGCCGATTCCTCACAGGTATACGCCCTCAGGAGTACTTCTTCCACCACATGGCCGGCCGGGAAGGTCTCATCGATACCGCTGTCAAGACATGGCGTTCTGGATATCTCCAGAGATGCATCATCAAAGGGCTAGAGGGGCTCACGGTGGCATACGATATGACGGTCCGTGATGCAGATGGCTCTGTGGTCCAGTTTCTGTATGGCGAAGACGGGCTTGACGTGGCCAAACAGGCCTATCTCACCGACTTCAGCTTCATTCTGAACAATGTGGTCTCAGAGGCCATCCAACTGAGGTATACTGCGGAAGATGGCCAGCGCCTCGGCATGCATCGAGACGCCTTTACGAACCGCCTCCAGGAAGTGTCATACGGGCCAGATGAGGACGAAAACAACGAAACCCAGCAGGCGGCGGAAGAGGACGCCACAACGGCCGAGATGGAAGATGACGGCTTCGAGGACTTGGAGGACTTGGAGCAGCGGGCAAGCGTGGATGGCGACAAGGAGGGCGCAGAGCCTCCCGCCTCGGGGCCGCCGACAGCTAGAGCGGAGCGCGTCCTACAGGAGTATGCAGAGGCGACGGGCTTTGAGTGCGACGAAACGACTGGAGGCTGGTGCCGCGTAATACTCGAGTTTGAGGCGGCCATGCCAGCCCATTCACCAAGATGAGCTTCGAGACGACGCTGGGCTTTCTGAAGGACGCGGTGCTAGATGGAGACTGGGATAACTTGACGGCGCCGAGCAGCCGTCTCGTGATGGGTCGACTGGGGAAACTAGGCACTGGTAGCTTTGACGTCCTCACACGACTGCCGACGTATCACCTCGATGCGCTGGCGTAAGAGAGAGAGAGGGAGGGAGGGAGGGAGGGAGGGAAGGAAGGACTGTTCGGGGGGTTATGTAGAATGAATTTGAATCAAGTGTTGGTCTTGGCCTTTGCTACTCTGTCGGATGCGTGCCAGGTCCTGCGGCGCCGCCATGCCGAGAAATAGACTGGAAACCTCCTAGTCAAAGTCGAGTATTATCACGACGCAAACGTGAGATGTATATCCTGGGCTTACCTGCCGCATCTTTCGCGACTGACTGATGCAATATCAGTCATCTTCAGGCAGAGGGCACGGGAAGGACGGAAACAATTGCACAATATATATTCTCAAAGCCAACTCTCCTACCTACTCTTGGCCAGATGAGCGTAGGCGCGAGTGAAAACAAAAGAACGAGCGAGCGATAGGGTTGGTCGGAAGGGAACCAGCAGATGATGTGCCAGGGGGGGGGCGCTTTGCTCTGTTTTGAGTCGATGATGGTTTGTCTAAAAAACCATGAATGTCACCAACGCCCAACCAGTCCTCCAGCGTTTTCTGCCACCCAGGATTGAACTTGCGGCTCACCGCCTTCCGAGGTTTGTCGACCCTGCTCAGGTCTTACCTTATCTAATCAGCCCCACCAAAGTACCACCTGACAGAGGTACACCGTGTTACATGATAATACACACTGTATAAGCCGGACACTTTTTATGGCTGTCACTGTACCATCTCTTCTGTCCTCGCCGGCTTCTCTTCTCCTCTCCTCTCTTCACTCCCCCCCCTCTCCTCTCCTCTGTTCACTCCCCTCCCCTCCTCCTCCTCCTCCTCCTCTCTTCACTCCCCTCTTCCTCCTCCTCGCGGCTAGCGCTCCTGCTCCTACCCAGTGCCGTCACCGTCACCGCCACCGCCACCCAGTCTAACTCGAGACGCTCGCTCCCTCCCAACCCTACTCCTCTTGGTATGAAATCTTGCGCATCTCGCCCAGTCGGTGCCGCGCGGCGGAAAGTGAATTCTCCAATTGGAGAATCTCGACCTGTCACCATGGGTTAGCCTCGTCTTGGCACTCCAACGCCATCCTTTCCAGCCTTGGAAGCCGTTAATCCCGTCTCGCCCGGACCACCCCAGACTCACCTGTTGCTCCATCTCTCGCACCTTGAACTCGTGCGCTCCGAGCGTAGAGTAGTCCACCTGGTCCTCCTCCAGGCTCCGCTCCTTGATCATCGTCTGAACTTGACGCACCAGCCCCCGGCATGCCGCCCCCACCGCCTTGCTAGCCTGCTCCAGCTTCCCTTGGCTCTTGGACATGAACCCTGCCTTGACTCGACTCGCAGCCACGAGCTGCGCCGTTGACGCTGCTACGTCGTTGGAGGCCACAATCAACTGCTCAGGGCTGTTGCGATTGGATATCACCCCGTCCGCCGTCTCGATGAGCGTGTTGGTCGACGACGCCACCGCCTTGGCAGCTGAAATGAGCCCTTCGGTCCACCGGTTGTTTTTCTTGTAAAAGGCCGTACGCGTAGACGACCCCTGCCCCGCCTGCACAATCTCCTGCTGTGTCAGTGTGGCCGCTTGGATCAGCTGCGTGATGGCGTTGGTGATGGCCGTGGCGGCGTCTAGAATCGAGTCGTGCACCTTGAGCTCGTAGGTGGAGTAACCGTCACGGGGCTTGTTCTTCAGTTTGGCCAGTCGCGCCGCCGCCGCTGCGATGGCATCCGCCGCCTTGCTGAGCTCCTGGTCCACAAGGTCTCCCAGGTCGCCCTTCTTGTTCATGAGCTTGCCGAACCCGGGCGCAAACACCTCGACCAGTTTGTTGAGCTTCTGCAGGTCTCTCTGCACGTCGTTGTTGCTGTTGATGACCACGTCCGTCTTCTGGATGGGGTCCATTCCCTCGAGCCGGAAGCTCTGTAGCCCACGGAAGAACTGCACCGTAGACTGCGCCGACTGGCGGGCCCCGTTCATGAGCGAATCCGTCTTCTTATCGTCCGTGGCCAGACGGCTAAGACCCTTGGTGTTGCTGCACACGTCCGCGATAGCTCCCGAGAAGACGTTGATGTTCTTGATCAGCTCGGCGTGCGTGCTGTTGGGACCGTCCGCAATGAAGTTGTTGAAAGATGTAGCAAACTCCATGGCGTTGGCCGATGCCTTTTCGATCTGAGAGAGCACGTAAGAGGGCGAGGCGTTCTGGTTTCCCGCCTGCATGGAGGAGTCCAGTTCGTAGAGTGCATCGTCGACACGCGCAACTCCGGCTTGGAGGACCGAGTCGATGATGTCGTTGATCTTGTCCAGGTTGGACAGGATGAGGGCGTCAATCTGTCCGTCGAGGGCGTTGTCCGTCTCGCCCTGGTTCTGTTGGAGCTCGCTGAGTTCCAGAAGCGTTTGGTCCATGCCCGCCTTGTACACCTCTAGCTCTTCCTCCTTTTCTCGGAGGAGCTGCTCCAGATCAGAGCCACCATCACGGAGCTTCGTCTGGGCATCCTCCAAGGCCCGTGTCTTGGTGCGGAGCGCCTCCTCGAGGTCTGACATCTCGCGGTTGTACTTGGCCAGCATCGTCGACAACTCGTTGCCCTTGCTGCGCTCTAGGTTATCAGCCCGGTCCATGGCCATGCGGAGCTCGCGTCGCAGCTTCTCCACCTCGTCCTTGTTGCTACCGTTCAGGCGGTCCTTGTCGTGCATGGCGCGGTCACGCTCGCGGATCATGTCGGCCAGCTCCAGGTTCTTGGTCTTGATCTCGCGCTCCAGCTTCTCCCGTCGGTCGATGGCCTCTTGGGCGCTGGCGGCCTTGAGCTGGACCGACTTGAACTTCTGGAGGAGGTCCAAGTGCTCATGTCGTAGCTGCGAGTAGAGCTTGGCCAGGGCCTCGTACTTGGTCCTCCACGTGTTGACCTGCTCCTGCAGCGCTCGAATCTGGTCGTCCTTGCTCGTGATTTGCTGCCCAAGGCTGTTCTGAAGCTGTGACAGCTCGCTCTCCAAGCCCCTGACACGCTGGTCGAACTGCTGGAGCATCAGCTGATCTCGTTCGTACTGAGCCCGGGCGTTCAGGTTCTCCCGCTCCAACTCGGCGAGACGCCCCTGAGTCTGCCACTGCGCCTGCTGAGCCAGGAGAGCCTCCTGCTCGCGCTGCTGCTGCTCCATCAGGGCGCGCTGCTGCTCCTCAAACTCGCGCTGCGCCTGAAGCTGCGCCTGCTGCTGCGACAACAATGCTTGTTGCTGGCGCTCCTCCATGACCCGCTGTTGCTCCTCGTACTCGCGGTTCTGACGATCCAGCTCGCCCTTCCAGAATTCGGACATCTCATCGGGTTCCTCCGACTTGGGTGCTTGCACGGGAGACGGCTGTCTCTCAATCTCTCCCTTTGGTCGAGCGGGGAGCGCGGGAGCCTCATCGTCTTCGGAAAGAAGGTTGGGCGGGTCTTGAGGGAGCTTCGGGATGGTGATGAGACTGGTGAGGTATCGGAGGTTGGAGCACTCGTAGTAGAACTTGACGAGGCGGTAATGCTGGGCATTGTATCGCTGTCGGAGGGGCTCGAGGGCATCGTCGTCGCCAGTCGCTGGTTGTTGTTAGCATTTGTGGTTTGCATAAAGGGGCATTGGTGTGCAGGGCATTGGTTTGCATCAAAGGGACCACTGACTGGAGTGCATCGCACGAAGCATGCTGGTGATGAACTTGTAGATGCCGTAGCTCTCCTGAACCAGAGGCACCAACGCGGCAATGCGACATTCGTTGTTTCCGACATTCCGGAAGTGGGAGAAGATGAGTTTCTGGAACTGCTCAATCTTATCCTGCAGCACCATGAGGTCGGTGATGGTCTCGTAGCCCTCGTTGGGGTCATTGATGGCCTTCAAGCTCAGGTATTCCTCGTACTCGAACGTTCCGTTGAACTCCTGGTGCTGGTGGTGGAAGGAGAGCTTCGCAAGGAGGTAGTAGACGTATTCGCGGATCAAGGGTCCGTATCCGCGCATTCCCTCGCCGTTCAGGCCGCGGTTGAGGCTGTCGATCCAGCCGCGGTTGGACATTGCCTCCTTCAAGGCGCTGGGGTGGCCTTCTTGGAGGACCTTGTGGATGGTGATGAGGGCCTTGAAGGTCTGGACTTCGTCGGCGAGGATCGGTTGGCTGTCATGACGGGGTTAGCAGCTGCGGAGAGGACGAGGTCGGGGGCTGGTTCGACGTACACCTTGATGCCAGCCCAGAAGGCGTTCGAGGACCGGTGGTCCCAGGTATAGACGATGCATGCTCGGACATGCTTGCGCTTGGGGGAGATTTCTTCGTTGTTGGTAGCCTTCTTGATGTTGATGGCAAGCTCCTGATCGGTCCTGCGCGGAGATGAGTTAGCATCCGCCTCTCCCGGCGCAACAGTGATTCACGACGACGCACTTGGTGTGTTCTATGCCACGCACGGCAGCCATGATTGCGGTTGGTGAGGGGAAAAGCTCCGCGAGGCTATCGGCTGGTGATGGAGGAGGAAGTTGCGCGGAGCCAGCAAGGTCGGGAGGGATGATGGAGGCGGAAGAAGCGAAGGAACCCCTGGTTCGATCACGAGACGAAAGACTGGGCCGACGCGGCCGCGGGGCGAGTAGTGCCAAATGAAGAGCAATTCAACCGAAAGAAGGAGGCCAGATGCGAAAGCAGGCTCGCCGCGGGTATAATATGGCGCGTGTGAATGCGGGAGCGAGAAGTCGTCGTCAGCAGTGACAAAGTATCGGGGCGATGATGCCTTTGGGAGTGCGACAACTTTCAGTGGCTACCTAATTTGAACCTGGCACAGCAGCGGGAGGCGCATAGCATACGTAGTCGGAGCTGCATCACAGTGGGGTGGCGGTGCAAGCTCCCGCGTCCGGAGCCGGATGCGAAATTATCCGGTCTGCGAAGCCTACCCTACACCTGACTAGTAGAATACGATTAGAATACAGTTACCTAAAGGGGCAAAAGGAGGTTATTACTATAAGGGATGTGGGATAAATTACTTAACTTAATTAAATTATCTAGAGTTAGAAGGAAAGCTTTAAAGGCTATCTTTAAGAATTTTTATAGTATAGTATAATCCTACAGTATTTGGTTTTTTTTTTTAGCTTTACTCAATATCATGAGATAGATCAAAGCCATACAGTAATCTCAAATAGTAGAAATAAACAATAAGGGCTACACCCAGCACCAGAAGAAATAGTAGCTGAACAATAAGGTTGTTGCCTACCGGTCTCTACCTGAAGCTTCCATTTAACCCCTCTGACTTCAACCCTATTGTCTGCAGTCAACAACCTTGCTGTCTGCAGTTAACAACCTTGAGATAGTAACCTTATTCCGAGCAATAGGATATAAGGGAGATGTCTCCCATCGTCAAGAGACTAACTTCCCTTCTAATACTTATTCCATTATAACTAATTTTCAATATAGCGAATTTCATTCGAGCAGCTCTTTCCAGGGATAACTCGTTATATCTATATTATAGATTCTAACTCTAATATGATATTAGATTCTCTTAGAATCTAGAAGATAAATTGGAAAGATAGAAGCTAAATTTCCTCTTAAACTTTCTTAAGAAAGAAAATCTATTTAAGCTATTGCTATATTATCTGCAATACTTAAATAAAAGCTAATAAATTGTATTAGCTATTTTTAGATATTATTTACTTTTTAATAATAAGATTAAGGTTAATAGATAAGAAAATTAAATTCTTATTTATAGTTTTATTTTATATATTTAAATAGAAATAGGTATATTTTATAATTTAGTTAAAAATATTAATAATTCTAATTTAAGGGGTTAAGTTTTTTTCTAGAATATTATTAAAGCTTAATATAACTTTTAGTTTTAGAAGTTATTATATTATATTAAGTTAGTATAAATACTAGCTATATAAAGTATTAGCTAGAAAGGGAATAATTTTATAGTATATAAAATTAAACTTTATTTTTTATACTTTTTTATATAATAATCTCTTTTAATAAATATTATAATAAATAGATATTTTTATAAATAAAAATTATTATAAAAAATATTTAAAAGAAATTAAAAAACTTAGAAAATAAAAAAAAAATAAAAAATAAAAAAAAAATAGTAAAATTTTTATTTTATTAATTAAAATAATATTAAATTAAAATAGATTTTTTTTAAAGAATTTAAGATTTTTTATATTAAATTTATTTTTAATTAAATTATATTATAAAAATTAAATTAAATTATAAAAATTAAATTAAATTATAAAAATTAAATTAAATTATAAAAATTAAAAAAAGATATTAAGATTATTAAAACTAGATTTTTTTTTTAAAAATTATAGCTATTTAAAATATTATAAAAAATATAAGAATTTCTTCTAATATTAAATATAGCTCTTATTATTTATTCTTACTATTTAAGATTATTATATAGCTTTAATTTATTTAATAATATTAAGTAAAATTATAAAAAAACTAAATAAAAATTATAATATTTTATTTATAAATATAAAAAAGTAAAATATATTTTATTTTAAAAAATTTAAAAAAATAATTATAGTTTTTTTTAAAAAAAGAAATTTTTATAAAATTATTAATAGCTATTTTTTTAATATTAATATAATTAATTTTAATAATATAAATTTTAATTTTATTATAAAAATAATAATAATTAATAATAATAATATTATAAAAAAGCAAATTTATTAATATTATATAAAGAGAAATACTATATATTAATTATTTATGTAAAGCTATAAAAAAAAGAAGAATCTTATTTATAATCTTAAAGTAAGCTTCTATTTAAATAGCTATAAAAGCAGTATATTCTAGTAGTAGATTTCTCTTTAACTAAATATAGTATAGCTATATTTCTTAATTTAAGGCTTTAGCCTATAATATTACCCCCCCTCTTTTTATTCTAGTTATTATAATTATTATTAAACTCTTTATAGCTCTTATAAAATACCTTAAAGATTAAGATAATCCTAATATACCTTGCTATTATTTTTATTCTTATTTCTAGTAGTTATACTATTTAAACTTTTAGAGCTTCTAAATCTATAGTTTTCTATTATACTAAGATAGCTAAGGACTCTCTATATATATACTATATTTTTATAGGTTATAACTTATATTAATTAACCTAGTACTTTATAAAGCTATAGTATATATATTTGCCTTTTTTATGCTATTTTTATTGCTATATTAGGGATATTACTAAAGCTATTTTTTTAATTTTTATAGGCTATTATTTTATTACTCTATTTAAAATTAAGCTTTATAAATTCTATTATAAAGTTAGCTTAAGATCTTTAAGTAATAGTAATATATATATAAAGTTATTATATTTTTTTAAAAGATATAGCTATTTATTTAAATATTATATTATTTTCTTATTAAGGTAGCTAGTTAGAGTTGTAATTTTTATATTATTAGGCTATAAGTTTATTTTAATTTTATAAAGAATTTACTTAAAATATATAAGAAATTTAATTAGGGATTTTAAGTTTTGCTATAGCTTTTATAGCTATTATTTTATTTTTTTATTTTATTAGAGTTATTAAAAATTTAAATAAGGTATTTTAATAAGATAGTTAAATTTTATTTATATTTTTATTTAATATATTATATATATATTAATATAAAAAATTAGATTTTTAAGTTTAGTAAATTATATATATAATAAAATTAAATATTTATATTTCTAATTATAAGTTTATTAATATATAGCTTTATATATAAAATTAAAATTTAAGTTTTTTAGTTTTTAGTATTTTTATTAAATTAATTAAAATTAAATAAAACTTATTATAATTACTATATTTATATTACTTTTTAAAATTTAGTAATTTACTTTTTTATTTTTATAATTATAGCTATTAGCTTTATTTTATAGGTATTTTACTAGTTATTTTCTTATAAAATTATTATATATTTATTATATTTATTTATTATATTATATATATTATATTAAGCTTTAAATAATATAAGAGAGTAAATTTATTAATATTATATAAAGGGAAATATTATATATTAATTATTTATTTAAAGTTATAAAAAAAAAAAGAATTTTATTTATAATTTTAAAGTAAGCTTTTATTTAAATAATTATAAGAATAATATATTTTAATAATAGGTTTTTCTTTAATTAAATATAATATAATTATATTTCTTAATTTAAGATTTTAACTTATAATAAATATATATAATAAGTATATAATATATTTAAATATATAATATATTAATATTATATAATTAAAAAAATAAATTTTAAATTTTTTAAAATAAGCTATATAATTTTAAAAAATTTAAGAAATTAATTATTAATATATAATTAAAAAGATTTATTTATTTATTTAATATATATTATTTTATCTATATCTAAATTATAAAATTCCTTTAATTAATTTAAAAAAAAAAACCTTTTAACTATCTAGCTATAAAATAAAAACCTTATTATAATTTTACTCTACTATCTTAAAAAGCTTATTATTATTATTAAATCTATATTAATAAATTTATTACTAGCCTTATTTAGATTATAAATATATATTTACCTATCTTTTAATTTAACTTCTCTAAATTATAAAAAAGCTATTAGGGGTTTATATATAAAATTTAGTAACTAGTACTATAATCTATTTAATTTACCTTCTTTATAGTTACTTTAGTAGCACTATATCTACTCTTTCTAGTATAAACTCTAGATATTCTTATAGTAGCCCCCAGCTGCTATTAAATCCAAGCTTAGCCTTTCTTTTTCTAGTTATATAACCTTATATATTAGTATATATATAGATACCGGGCCTATATAGCTATTTACTTAGAATCCAGCTCTATAATTTCAGGGCTAATTTTCCTGCTATATTATAGGCAGGCTTTATATTACTTAGTAGTTTCTATTTTTATTTTTTTCTTATTTTTAGTTTAGGCTTTTAATAGCTTTAAATATATTCTATTTTTATATCTTTAGAGCTTAAGAATTTAGCCTTTTAAGGCTTTTCTAGGCTTTATAAAAAGCCTTTTTTATTTTTTTTTTTTTTTTTTTATTATTATTCTATTGCTTATTATAGCTATTTCTTATAAGTTTCTTTTCTCTTTTATAATTCTATATTATTATTAATTCTTATTAATTTATAGAAAGTTATTTTTTTTTTTTTTTTTCTACTTATTACTACTTTAATTATATTTAATTTTACTATAATATCTTCTATTTAATCTTAAGAAGTAAAAGATAAAAGCTCAGCTATTATATAAGAAAGCTATTTAGAAGAAAGCTAAAAAAAAGCTTTTAATAAGGCTACTATAGCTACTCTAGCTTTTCCTACTAATAATAAGAAGAAGAAGGAGGAGGAGGAGAAGGAGATTATTATTACTCCCTTAAGTATTCTTTTAGTAATATTACTATAAATATATTTAAGAGTTTAAAGAACTTAAGCTTAATATCTTTTTATTTATATTACTCTAAAATACCTAATAAGCTACTATTTCTTTTAGTTAATATAAAAAAATTTTTTTTATTAAATAAGTATTTTATAGTATTTTATAGTATTCTATTAATTTATTTTATAAAAGTTAGTATTATTAATTTATTTTTTATATTTATTATATTTATTAATATTTTAACTAGTATTTTTAGTTATTTTTATTTTATTTATAATATATTATTTTTATATTAATTTTATAATTTCTTTTTTTTTAATATTAATTTTTAATTAGGCTTTAGTAGCTATTATACCTATTATATAAAGAGAAAGTATATTTATAATTTAATAAGTAGTTTTTATAGTATCTTTAAGTTTTTTATTTAGTATTATACTTATTAGAAGATAGATATAACTTTTAGCTATATAGATATCTCTATAATTTTATAGAAATCTTACTAATTTAATATAGTCTAATAATATAAATAAAATTAAGAAGATTTTTAGCTATTATAACTAGTAGGCTATTATTATAGCCTCTACTATAAGTAGGTTAAAAAATAAGGTAATTACTAAGTTAACTTTAAAGGCCCTTAATAGGGGCTTTATAGCTATTAAAATTAACTATTTTCTTTACTATCTTATTATTCTTAATAAAGCCTTTTTTAATATTATTTCTATTAAGATTTCTTTAAATAAAAAGAATAATAATAGTATTATTAGCTAGTAGATATTTTAATAATATTACTTTAGCTTTAACTTTATACTTTTTATAAATATTCTTTCTTATAGGCTTAGTTTCTTTATAAGGCAATTTTTATTTATATCTTAATTAATTAATCTAAGTAATTATTTATATATTATTACTAAGATCTTATTTCTCTTTTATCTACTTTCTATACCTTCTATTTTTCCTATAGAGCTATTACCAGTCTAAACTATATAAATTAGACTATCTTACTATATTAAATTACTACTGTAGGTATAGTATATTTATTGCTAAGGTAGTATTTTATATCCCTATAATTTATAATTTAGGCTTTAAGAGGAGAATCTTATTATAGAGTATATAGTAGGTAAAAATATACTTAATAATTTACCTACTCCAAGTGTGTCACACTCATGCGAGATATCTCTAGTCTCTTATATGTAGGAACCTCCCAGAGGTGTCGGGTCAGAAAACGTGGCTCAACTAGGCCCAAAACGGGCCCGCCAACACCAACACATGCATTCTTCTTGTGACGCGGTCTCCTTCGCGGTCTCCTTATGCTTTTAAGCATCCCTTTATGTCTAAGGCGCACAGCCCGGTGGGACTTTAATTGAGTGGCCCATCCCTGTATGTTGGCAACTCTGAGAGCCAGACTGCTGACCAAGCGAAGACACACGGGAGGTCCACGGCTGATTTCTCGAACGCTAACAGCGGAAGTGGCATGAAGGCACTTGTGACTGGGATGCTCAGTTGTCCCCGTCTTTCCGCGCTGGCTCTCCTCGGAATTCCCCGCATGCGCATGCGCGGCGAAGTTGCTGTGGATCAACGGGAGGAAGCCTACGATCATCGCACACTGGTCTCAGGCGTGTGATACAGTGGGGCGGTGAAATAAGACACGTGGTCTCGAAACCTTGCCAATCCAAATCCCTTTCCTTTGCCATCTCCGCCTGTTCCAATCGTCCCCCGCGTTTTCGTACTGTTGGCGCTTCCCTACTATTTATACTACATTGCATGGCTAGAAGTCTCAGGGACCAAGCTATTTGCTACCAAAGATCCCTCCGAAACCCCTCACCACTTAGTCAGCCGGAAGCTTGTACGTCCACGCCAAACGACTCGGCGACGTCGAAGAGACATACAGACACCGACAACAAGGAAGGTCCTGCGCCGAACAGCAAAATGAGTAAGATGGAGGACCGCGGATCTCATACGGCAGAATTTACCCACAGCGATTTCACAGTGGGGTGGCTATGCGCACTGCCAAAGGAGCAGACCGCAGCGACAGCCATACTGGATCAAATCCATCCCGAGCTCCCTAAGCCACATAATGACCCGAACACATACACACTAGGATCTATCGGAAAGCATAATATTGTCATAGCCTGCCTGCCGAAAGGGAAGATTGGCAATAATGTCGCTGCGACTTTCGCGACTCAGATGATGCGCACGTTTCCGTCTATCAAAGTCGGACTCATGGTAGGCATCGGCGGTGGTATTCCACCCAAAGTAAGACTCGGCGATGTCGTAGTCAGTACACCAACCGGCCAATATCCTGGCGTGGTCCAGTGGGACTTCGGCAAGGCGGAAAAGGCTGGCGAGTTCAAACGGACTGGCGCGCTGAACAATCCCCCAAGCGCACTACTTACAGCTTTGACCAAGTTGGAAACCAACCATGAGATGGCAGGATCCAAGATACCCCAGTATCTAGATGAACTGGCACAAAAATGGCCAAGATTGGTGCGTAAATACATCTGGTCTGATTCACTCAAAGACCCTGTGTACGAATCAGACACTTCCGACCGCGACCCCGGAGACCCGCATGTTCATTACGGTCTGATTGCCTCCGGCAACGAAGTAATCAAAGACGCCGATTTTCGTGACAGACTCAATGAGAGTCTTGGTGGGGATGTACTGTGCTTCGAAATGGAGGCAGCAGGGCTGCTGGACTTCCCGTGCATCGTCATTCGAGGTATCTGCGATTACGCTGATTCGCATAAGAATAAAGATTGGCAAGAACACGCGGCGGCTGTGGCTGCTGCGTTTGCAAAGGAGCTGCTGCAGTATGTTCAACCGAGCGACGTGGAGGGAACGCGCCCAGTGAAAGATATACTGAGGGACATATTGAAGCAAGGTTGGTAACTCCAGGCTCAAGACAGAATATACCTAATAAGAGACCCAGTTCAACAAGATACATCCGCCACTAGAGAAGATGTCACACATCTCAAGTCCGAACTTGTCAAAAAAGAAGACTTGGAGATCCTGAACTGGCTTACAAGAGTTGACTACGGGCCAATGCAGAGCGATCACCTTTCAAGACGGCAACCTGGCACTGGACAATGGCTGCTCGAGTCAATCGAGTTCCAGGACTGGCTAGCTATAAGCAACCGGACTTTGTTTTGTCCAGGTATCCCCGGGGCAGGAAAAACGATCATGACTTCAATTGTAGTAGACGACCTCAGTTCAAGGTTTTACAGCAACTCGGACATCGGCATTGCATACATTTACTGCAACTTCCAACGACAGAATGAGCAGAACATCGACCACCTGTTAGCAAGTGTACTAAAGCAGCTAACTCCATCCCATTCTTCCCAACTGGATGTCGTCAAGAGTGTGTATGATCGGCACAAGAAGAAGCGAACGCGGCCATCACTCGACGAAATTGTACGACTTCTCGATTCTGTAGTAGGGATGTATTCACGAGTTTTCATCATCGTTGATGCACTCGATGAATGCCAGGTATCCGATAGATGCCGTATAACATTCCTCTCAGCACTTTTTGAACTGCAGATAAGGCACAGGATAAATATCTTTGCGACATCAAGATTTATGCCGGATATCATTGATCACTTTAAAGACAGCGAAACACTCTTCATTTATGCCAATACTGATGATGTGGCAAGATACCTCAGAGATCATATGCAGGAAATGCCATCTTTTATCCAGCAGAATCAACAACTGCAGCAAGAGATCGTAACAGGGATCTTATCAGCTATTGATGGAATGTATGTTTTTGGCTACTCGCAAGACTAAGGTAGCAACTAATGTTGGGCAGGTTTCTCCTCTCATCAATCTATCTCGGTGTGCTTAAAGAAAGCCTGACGCTAAATGAGATCCGGAGTACAATAGAGCTTTTCCCAACAGATGGTCAAGCACTAGATGACGACCGAAGAGCCCAAATATTGGACCAAGCATATAAACAAGCTATGGACAGAATTCAAGGGCAGGCAACAGGAAGGAAGAAGCTTGCATTCAAGGTTCTATTATGGGTTACAAACGCAAAGAGACAGCTTACTACGTCAGAGCTTCTGTATGCCCTTGCAACGAAGCCGGGAAGCCCCAAGCTCGATAATGGGGAGTTCGTACATATCGATGATATAATCTCAGTCTGTGCTGGACTGATAATGGTCGATACCGAAAGCAGAATCATCCGGCTCGTGCACTATACAACGCAAGAATATCTCAAGCGGACACAGAAACAATGGTGTCCCAACGCAGACTCTACAATCACGACAATATGCGTTACCTACCTCTCGTTCGCCATGTTTGAGGATGGGGCATGCAAAACAGACAGAAAGTTCAAGGAACGGCTGCAGTTGAATCCGTTCTACGACTACGCCGCACAAAACTGGGGGCATCACGCTCGTGACGACGTGACCTTAAGTCGGCATGTCATCACATTTCTGAAGAGTGAAGCCAGTCTTGAGGCATCAAGTCAAGCACTGATGGTCAACAAACTACATGAATCAGAGAAACATTACAGTCAAAGAGCTCCGAAGGGTATGACGGGATTACATATGGCAGGGCACTTTGGACTGTTCGATGCCACATATGCCCTCCTTAGACTTGGACACTCCCCAGATCTGAAGGATAGTTCCCGATGGACGCCACTGATGTATGCTGCTGAGAATGGACACGAGGACGTCGTCAAGCTAATGCTGGCCGTAAAGGCTGGTGTTAATTCTGTCGCGAAGAGTAGACAGCCCGCGCTTCACGCAGCTGTTAAGAGGGGCCATCTAGGGATTGTTGAGGACCTGGTAGCAGCAGGGGCCGATGTCAATACTACCAGTCGTGGCGAACTGACCGTGCTACAAGCAGCTGCTGGAAAAGGCCATCTAGAAGTTGTTGAAAAGTTATTGGCGGCAGGAGCTGATGTCAATGCTACTACAACTGCTGAAGCTGGGCGGACTGCGCTACAGTCAGCTGTTTTGGGAGGCCATCTAGCAGTTGTTGAGAAGCTGTTAGAGGCAGGGGCCAATGTCAACACTGACGTTGGAGGCAGACACCTTCCGCTCCAGACAGCCGCTGGTAGAGGACACCTAGCAATCGTTGAAAGGTTGTTAGAGGCAAAGGCAGATGTCGACGTTGTTACGGGCCGCGATGGATGGACTGCGCTCCGAGCAGCTGCTAGAGGAAACCATCCAGCAATTGTCGAGAGGCTGCTGGCAGCAGGAGCCGATGCCAACACTGCTGCTAGGGGTAGCCCCACCGTGCTCCAGATAGCCGCTGGAAAAGGCTATCTCGAAGTTGTTAAACAGTTGTTGGAAGCAGGGGCCGATGTCAATGCTGCTCCGGCTAAAGCTTGGTGGACTGCACTGCAAGCAGCTGCTGGAAAAGGCTGTCCAGAAGTTGTTGAAAAGTTGTTAGCGGCAGGGGCCCATGTCAATGCTGCTGGTTACGATGATCACACTGCGCTCCATGTAGCTATTTTAGGAGGCCATCTAACAGTTGTTAAGAAGCTGTTAGCGGTGGGGGCTGATGTCAATACCGGCCGTCGAGGTGGACAGATTCCACTTCAGGCAGCGGCTGAAAGTGGCCATCTGGAGATCGTTAAAGGGCTGTTAGAGGCAGGAGCCGATGTCGACGCGGCGGGTTATGCTGGACGGACTGCGCTTCAGACAGCTGCTGAAAAAGGGCATGTGGCGATCGTGAAGGAGCTGTTGGCCGCAGGGGCCGAGATCCATTCTGCTGCTGCTGCTGCTACTGCCGAAACTGGACGGACTGTTCTCCAGGCAGCGGCTAAAGGAGGCCATCTCGAAGTTGTGGAACAGTTATTGGAAGCAGGAGCCGATGTCAATGCTGTTGCTGCTAAAGCTGGATGGACTGCACTCCAGGCTGCCGCTGGAAGTGGCCACCTAGCTCTTGTCGAGAAGCTGCTAGCGGTAGGGGCCGATATTGAGGCTGCTGCTCCTGATTATGCTGGACGGACTGCGCTCCAGGCAGCTGCTGGGGAAGGTCATCTATCGATCGTTGAAAAGCTGTTGGCGGCACGAGCTGATGTTAATGCTGTTGCTGCTTACTTTTCTGGTTGGACTGCGCTGCAAGCGGCTGCTGAAAAAGGTCATCTAGGGATTGTGGAAAGGCTGTTGGAAGCAGGGGCTAATGCCAATGCCGCTGGTGCCGCTGTTCGTGGACAGACTGCGCTCCAGGCGGCTGCTGGAGGAGGTCATCTAGAAGTAGTCGAAAAGCTGTTAGCGGCGGGGGCCAATGCCAATGCAGCTGCCGATGAAGTTGCATGGACTGCTCTCCAGGCAGCGGCTTATGGAGGCTATTTAGAAGTTGTCGGAATGTTATTAGCGGCAGGGGCCGATGTCAATGCTGCTCCGGCTAAAGCTGGGTGGACTGCTCTGCAGGCAGCCTCTAAACGAGGCCATAGAGAAGTTGTCCACAAGCTGTTGACAGCAGGCGCGCTGACTTGACAGGCAAACATAATTACCTAGCCTCTATCGCGCACCTGCTTTTCTTCTTCTCGTATGTTTCACTTCACGCATGGCTTTGACAAGATGGTTCGATAGTTATTGTTGTTGTATAATGCATTTCAGAACGAAAGGACTTCCTTTAGGCTGGGACTCTGAAGGCCCTGAGCGCTGATTCGCTGCCCATTCAGGTGTTTGCATCCGTAATCCCTTAACATTAGTAGGAATGGTATTTTAGGAATGGTAGTTCGGAGCTTCTGTCTGAACCTACTACTGCATAGGTTACGTCGCGTATTCTTCCCTGTAAGTTACCGATCGCGATACGTCTAAGAGCGTACGATAGCTTGGAAAAGGTGGGGTAAGCGATCAGCTCAGATCTGCCCCTCTTCCTAGCTGCACCTTGAGCTTGTCAAAAGCGGAATCGATGCGCTGTTTAAGGGCATTGACGTGCTGCTCCTGGAACTGGGCGACCCCTTCCAGCTGGGTGTTGAAGATCTCGTCGCAGAAGCGGTTCTCGTCGTCCTCGGTCTATGGCTGGGCCTCGTCCTCGGAGCGGTGCATGCGCAGTAGGCTCTTGAGCTTGGTGTAGTCGATATACTTGTCCTTCTATAGCGTATAGACAGACTCGTGGAGGGTCGTGCCGAAATGCATGGTCCTCAAGCAAGTCTCGTCCTATATTAGTGTTGTGGAGTCGGTATAGAGGCGAGATAATAATGGATAGATGAAGGTGTATGGGAGGAGGAAGACGGAGGGGAGCAGAATGCCCGGACAGAGCAGAGGTATAATACTATAGTGCATCCGGAGCGGGAGAGAGAAAAGGGAGTTGACTTAAGGGAGAGACAACAGACGGCTATAAATTTATACAGGCGTCCGACTGGTTCTCCAGTCGCCATAAGAGATAAGTATATATGGGAAAGGTCGGTAGCTTGTCTGATTTACGCTAGCCCGACAAGACCTCCTCCATCCCTCGATTAAGGGCCCGAGAGTCGAGACTCAAAGGGTCGCACTTATCCGCAATCGACTTCCTGTATATGTATTCCAGGAAGCGCCCTCGTAAATAGAGGCCGAGGATCCAGAGTTCCTGGGAATCGAGCAGAGTGTAACTTACCCTGCACCTTTGGTCCCTAATCGCAAGGAGTTGTCGAGGATGATAAGGAGCCCTGGCCCGACAAGGGTGTGTATATGGGAGGGCTCCTCGCTCTATCCTACCTTCGCATATCTGATTCTTAGGCTATTCCTTTAATGGCTATTAGTCCGGCTATCTTGGTACTATTTATATCCTTCTGGCTAAAGGGGTAATCTACTATAATATATTGCTTGTATATATTTAGGATTTCTCGTGCTGGACTTATAGTTCCTGCCGTGCTGAATACTGTAACTGAAAGTAGCTCTATAAGTGGAATGCTTGCTCGGCGCTATAGCACTCAAGCCGGGGCTTCTACTATCTGCGCTGTAGCAGTTTAGCTATCAGTCTGCTAAGGGCTAGATATTCTAAGAGTAATAAATACATAGAAGTACGGATAAGTATAATACTAATTTATTAATATATATCCGTTACGGCTTGCCGGTAAGATTGTTAAGCCAGCCGCCTAGGTAAAAGGATTCTTAATTATAAGCCTCAAACTATAAATAACAATAATTTTAATATAAATAATTAGCTCTTTATCTTTTATTGTAGACTCTTATATAACTATAAGTAATTTTTATGGGAATTATTAGACTTAATATAGCAAGACTATTAATAGAACTACTCTATTAGTACCAGCATGCTGTAATATAGAGATGCGAGAGTGTAATATTGCAATTTAACTAGCAGATAGTCGGATCAGTAGAAATACAACAGGCAGGCGTTCTTAGCGCCAGCAGTTAACCTATTAGCTGGTTAATAGTGCGTCTTTTGGTTATTTAGCTAGTAAGGTGGATGTCGCTTTTTTATAGGCTCGATAGGTAACTAAGAGCAAACTGCTAAGCAATGTATATAGCGAGCTTGGCACGTGCTAGCAGATACTCAGCGGCCCTAAACAGAGTAAACCCAGATCTAATAGGTAGGCTGCCTCTACTTAAGCCCTAAATGTAAGATGCTCTACTAAGATAGGCCTAATTTCTATGGGGAATTCTAGGGTGTCTATTAGTATAATACCTATAGCTGTATCTATCCTAATTGCCTCTTCCTCTACTACTAACTATATCCCGATACCTACAGGCCTTATTTACTCCTCTCTTCTCTCCTTAGTTAGCTACCCTCCCCTTTACTCAACTATACCTTCTATCTATTTATTATCTTATTTAGTATTTATAGCTTTCTATCTTAAGTTAATTTTACTTAAAGTAGAAGTAGTATAGAATAGATAAGATAGTATTACTACTAATACTAGCTGTAGTATTTCTCTCTTTAGATAATATAAATTTAAGTAAAATTATTTTATTAGTCTTAATAGCTTATATCTCTTATAGCTCTTAATAAAATACCTAATAGTATATAATTTATACTACTTATTTTAGTACTTATAGTAGGTATATTCTTATTATAAAGATTTAGAAGGAGAATTAGTAGTATACTATAGTAGAGAATTACTTTTATTATAAAAAATAAGGAAATTAAATTAGTATTAATATCTTATTAGGATAGTAATATACTCTCTTCTATTAGTAGCTTTAGTATTTTCTTTAATAAGACTAGTATTCTTACTCTAAGTATCTTTATCTACTTTACCTCTAAATTTAGCGCTCTATCTAATATCTCTATCTTCTTCTATCTCTATTTTATTAAGATTCTATCTATCTCTAAGAAAAAGTGCTATTATATCTTTTACTTTGCTAGTATCTCTAGCTGCTACTATCTTATTATCTACTATAGCTTTATAAATAAGGTTATCAATTTGGATTTGAGTATGCTAATTTATAATTAGGTATATAAGTTTATTGTATACCAGGCTGCTACTAAGTTTACTACTATAAGCAAGTAGGAGACTATTATAATATTAATATCTATAGAGAATATAGAGGGCCTATTAAAACTTAGAGATAAGAGTGTTATAGTAGAGCTAGTAAGGCTGGATTATATATATATATAGAAGGTGCTATATATTATAGGGAAAGAGTAGATATAAATCTGGGCGGGGATAAGTATATTAAGAAGAATTATATTAGGGACTTTTCTTTAGATTAGAGATAATATATATATAAAGATTATAAACTTAAAATTAGTAATAAAAAGGGTTATTAAAATAGGATTTATAAAGATTTAATCTAGTTTTTTATAAGCTTTAGCTATAGTATAATAAAGAAATAATAATAATAAGCTATATTATAATAATATTATAGAAACTTATTATTATAAGAGATATTAGTATGTTATTAGTTATCTAGGTAAATATAGAAATATAGTATATTTAATAAGAATATAGTTATTTTCTAGTTTTTTTTTTCTTTTTATAAATTAATAGCTTATTTATACTTATTTTATAATTACTAGGTGCTATATTAGCTCAGTAATATATAGTAGAGTCTAGGGATATATAAATTTTACTATATTATTAATTAGAAAGATATTTAAACTTAGAAAATTCTAGCTAGATAAAATTTAGTAGAAATATAATATAGAATATAATTAAATAAATTTATAGAGCTTTAAAGCTAATATATAATAATACTTTACTTACTTATATAAATTAGTATCTAGCTAAATAGATACTTTAGTATATTAATAAAAGGTAACTTATTATAGCTTAAGTTAAGACTAAGTAGTTATAACTAGCAGAATTATAATATACCTACTTTTTTACCTAATATAAATCCCAAACTTACTCTATATAAATAAGCCTAAATATATAACTTACTTCTTTAGAATAAGCTATAAAATTAAACTTACTCTTATTTAATAAGCCTATATAAGTATTACTAATATATAGATATTTTTTAATACTTTTATAGATAAATAGCCTTACTAGCTATTAATATATTTAGTTATATTAAATTTATTATTCTATTATTACTAAATTATAATTTATATTACTTACTATAATATTCTAATTTACTTAATTATATACTATATATCTTAAACCTATTCTATACTCTTAGAATTAAACCTAACTATTATATATTAATAGCTTTTATTTAGTATATTATTATATTAACCTAAGTAATATCTTAAATAAGCTAAAATAGCTTTTATAACTTTAAGTATCTTATTTAAATTTAGAAAAAACTTTATTACTCTAATAATATAAGGCTAAGATCTTATTAATAATATAAATATAGATAAATCTAACTTTAATAATAAAGTTATTAAAAAGAATTTTAATAGACTCTAAAAGTAAAATAATTACTTAAAGCTAAGCTTAATAAACTTATTAAGATTTTATTAAAAAAGACTTAAAAAAGATAATAAAATTAATAAGTTAATAGAATAAATTACCTAGCTCTTAATATAGAATAATTATTTAGTGGAGATCTTATTTATTAAGAGGTACTTTACTATAATTATATTATTATTTAGACTTTCTTATAGTAAATAGAAAAGATATAGAAGAAATTCTTAAATTTAAGTAAGTTAATTTATTTAATAAAGTAGTTACTAGCCTTTAAGAATTTCTTATATAAGTTAGGTATTTTAAAGCTATTATTCTATATAGTTTGCTAAAGAAAAGCTAAATTTACTATATTATAGAATTCTTAAAGATAAAGTACTTTAATAATTTAAATTAATTATAAGAAATTATTTAATAATTTTTACTATATAAAAAGAATAAAACTAAAGCTATCTATACTAACTATAAAGTATTTAAATAAGAACTATAAGATATATTTAATTTTATTAATAAAAATAATAGCTAAAATATAATTTAAAACTTATTTAAAAGTATTAATATTAAGCTATATAGTGGAATTTTATAATAGTATCTTATATTTAAACTAAAGAGAAGAAGTATATATAGCAGCTTACTATAAAAACTTAAGTTAGAATTTAAAGATATAATAATTAGGTATAAGCCTATAATTTTAATATTCTTATTATTCTTTTTATAGAAATTAATAATTAATAATTTAAAAGATAATAAGAAAAAAAAATTAAAAAGTTAAAAGAAATATTCTATATGCTATTTTAGAAGAGTAAGAAGAATAATACTAACTAAGAAAAGAGATATT